TTCTTTGTAGTAACCGCAAACCAGATGATCAGAGTCATCTAATCCATTAATGGGTTCGCAAAGCTCAACTTTTCATCTGTGATGATTATAGTTGAGATACCAACCAATATGTGCCAAAAAGTGGTCGAAAATTGTCTCAAATGGATCGATTTTTACTAAAATTTTAAGGCTGCCGTTTAAATACTGTAGTTTGTCACATACATATAATTTCAAGACTCAAACTTTATATTAAAAAGTAAGCTCATGAAAAAAATAATTTTAAATGCATTCGATAGACTTTTACCACAAATGGATTACACTGTGATCAAAATAATAGCAGTGCTAAGTACTAACACATATATGTGAAAATAAGTGAAAGAAGAAACATAAATTTTATCACAATGTTACCTTAACAGGCCTATTCCGTTGAGGTAACAAAATTCACTTTGGTATCAAAATTTACCATTCAGTAAATTTTGTTACTTCTTCGTATTCTGAGTTCGCTGTCACCTTGTAAATTTTGAGACCAGTGAAATAGAGGGTAACACGAAATCTACAAAATAAAAACTAAAATGGGTGAGCATGTTGTAGGCTTGGAATTTATTGAAGATCAAGAAAAAAGTGTAAAAAGGCATATGTTAAGAAGTTGCGAGAGAAAAATTACTCTTATCTTTCTAATTGATAGCGTTTTCATTCAGCTTTTGTTAGTCGTTTGGGCATATTTTCCAAAATTAGGTTCAAATTTTTATGCTTTAATAAAAAAATAAATATTATTTATTTTGTGGCGCACCGTCTTCCATTTCGATGTGAATATTCTTCTTTTCACTTTACCAACTGGCAAATATAACTTGGCAGTCGAAAAAAACAGTGCTGCCAAAGTTTTGTCATACAATGTAACCAGTTCGCCAGAATACCAAATTTAATTTCGGGTGTTAAAGAAAAGTAACAAAATTTACTTTACCGGTAACAGTGAGAATAGGCTTGTAAAAGTCTGCTTTAAAACAAAAGAAAATTAATATGTGATTACTGTTTTTTTTCACAGGAAAAGCATGAAAAAAACAATTTTAGAACGGAAAGGAAACTCGCCGAAGAAATCCACTATGACTTCACGTACGATTGGTACGGCATAGTCAAAATAATCGGAGATTGGAAAAACTACTTATTAGAAGAAGGTTAAGGGGAAGAAATTGTTATGGTAGAAAAGTGTCCTTGCCGAAAAATTAATACTTGGAATGGTTTACTGAAAAGTGAAGGAATTAAATTTGGTCCAACGAAAGAAAAATTATTCTTTCGAGTACAAGGGAATAGATTAGGCAAAAAACAAATCCTGAATACCACCCCCGAAACATTATAAATACCGTCAATGATTTTGGCTTGCTTTTCATATTACGGTGTAGGCGCCGTAAAACTAGCGCGTAACTAACCTAATGGATAGGCAAATATTAGTCGAAATATTGGATTTAGTGAAGTTATCTTATGCCAGAGAAGAGATGTCAATAAAGTGGGTGTACCAGCAAGACAACGACCCCAAACATATTAGCAAAGTGCGGAAACAGTGGATTATGGCAAAAATCGTTTGACCAGCCCAATCTGTTGGCGGTTATAACCAACAAAGGATGCTCCACCAAACACTAACGGCATTTTTTTTTAACATTTCTATTTTATCTGCTCAATATGAGAAGCCTCACAATAAATTGTCAAATCTTGGAAACTAAATTAAAATATAATTGCAGGCTCAGCGTCGCTCTTTACATGGGTAGTAAGTCCCTTCTCTTCAGGTGCGTTTGCCTTGTTGCGACGGTCAAGGTGATAGCGAAAGGGTCCGGAGGATTGTGCAGTTTTGATTCTTCTTGGTTTTCAAGGCTGAGCCCAGATTTCTTGGTTAGAAGCCAATTCAAACTGGAAAATTTAAGCTTCAGCCGCATCTTTTTGGTGGAAATGTGTCGCTTCTAAGTTAATCGTCTATCCAATTAAATGCCAGGGTATGTGATTTCGTTAGCTATGGGAAAGGCACATTGTTGAGCTTGACGATATTGCAAGTATTTGGCGCTGCTCTAACACTTATGTGACTCTAACGGGGCATTTATGTGGACAAAGGTAGCTGTGGACAAAATGTGAAATATTGGTCCAAGAACCCTATCCCATGGAACACCTGCCGTGATTGGACACGCTTCTGTTATGTAATCATTTACCTATGCAGTGAATCGGTTGTTGTATAAATAAGTTTCCAGGATAATGTGGAACTTGTGAGGTAATGATTTTTTAATTTTATGTATAAGATCAACATGCCACACTTTGTCAAATGCCTGCGCCACATCAAGAAAAACGACCGAGCAATATTCTCTGAATTCGAAAGTGTTCTTTATGTCATTTTTCTTATGATTTACTTGTTCAATTGAGCCATGTTTTTTCGCGAAAGCCAAATTCATGTGTAGGAATAAGATCATTTTCATGGAAAAAAGTAGTTATTTCTGATAGCAGCACTTTTTCGAAAAGTTTGGATAGGCAAGGCAACAAACATGGTGATTGGTCTATTCGAGTATGATGATGGCAGGGTTGCGTCTTCATCTGGTTTATCTATCATGAATACCTACGACTTTTTCCATATTTGTGGATAATAACCCAGTTTTATTACGGCACTGAAAAGCTTTGCCAGAAAAACGGGAACAATTGTTTCAGCATTTTTGGTGAGATGTGATCGTCTCCTGCAGATTTTTTTGAGATTTAAGGCGGTAATAATATTTTTATAGCTCAGACACATATGCTCCGCAAGTAACAGTGTATCTTGGAGCAATATGGTTCAAAGATGCACTATTTGTAGCAGTATTTAGTTGAAATAGTGTACTGAGTTGCTCTGCATCCGTTCTGGCCCTTGAACCATTACGCAGTCTCAACGGTACTTCAGTGCTAGCTTTTCGGAGAGATTTTTTAGTAGAAACGTTGGTTGTTTTGGGGAGATAACATCGTATCTATTTTTGGTACTTTTGATCGTATTATGAACTAGCAACCTTTTGGGTTATGGGTATGTTTCGCATTGTAATCACCTCCAGCTAAAAACCTATTTTGCAGAGTCATGAAAAAGTCGTAAAACTGTTTTTCTGTTATTACGAAGTATGGCGGACAGTAAATCGCTGCCAATGTAAGATCAACCTCGCTATTTTTAAGGGTGATCCTTCACTGCAACCCATTCATTGCGAAGGAATTAAGAAAGCTGTGCTTTAAAAGGTTCCTTATGAGTATAGCTGTGCCACCATGTGCTTTGCCATCTGGGTTATTAGTGTTGGACAGCTTAAACCCAGGGATATAAGAATTATATTCTGGGTGAGATGTGCTTCAGATAAAATAATAACTTTTTTTTAGGTCGAAGCTAAATGCAGGGTACGTTGAAATGGAATACAGCTGCCGACTGAGCGGAATACAGCTGCCTCTCTCGAACCAAGACCGTCAGTGCGCGATGAGGAGTCGCATCTTTTCAGAGGTGGCCCTGCTAGACTAACTAAACACTACGGATCTAGAACTGGAGGGTGTCGAACATACCCTTCCCCCCTAATCCAGGGTGTCATGCATTTCCGTCCCATTGAATGGTTTGCAGTCAGGGGCGTCCGTCGACTGTCTCAATTCCCCTTTCCATTTTTCCGGTCACAGAAAGATCTCGGCTCAGTAAGTGACCAACGAACCAGATGATATGAATAAAAATAATCCAGCCAACGATTCATGAACGGATAAAAATGCAGCTCCTCGAACTCCTCGGCAACCATATCGACGGAGCCGAAAGGACCTTCACGGCCAATCGGGACAGGAAGGCGGCTCACAAGATAGTGGAGTAGCTTAGCGCCGTCCCCGCCAATAAACTGACGGAGGTGCAGAAGCCAGCCTGAAATGGGGAATAGGCATTCTCGCTGCAAGTGAGAAGCCGACGGTAGGCTCAGAAAGCACGAAACACCTTTCTACAACAAAAAGGTCTGATCTCAGGAATACACCTCGAGTAAATCCAAAAGGCTCAGGCCCACAGCACTACATCAAAATCCGACAGCTCAAACTGCAAGACCCTTTACGGGGGGTTGCCAAGGAGTATCTCACTCTAGGGAGCGTAGACAGGGGGCACGCGGACAGGTATTTTTCTACGAATAACTGGAAATCTGTGCTGATGGGTCTGTGTAGGGTGTACAAAGTGATATTGCAAAGATTTTCTCTCACAAAGGCGGCGTAAAACTTGTAGCGTGCGCTGACGAAAGACCGGTAAAGCTCTATAAAGAGGCTAACACTGAGGTCGGAGAACTCTGGCCTGGGGCAGACTTGGTGGCTGTGCATAGAGACGAGATCTGTAGCAGATCACGAGTTTGGGCTTGGATGTCAGCAGAGGATATTCTGGAACTCAGCCAACTTGGCGATGAGGAGCTACCCACCACTGGTTAGAGGATAGCCTAATTCGGTGAGGTCAAGGAGCAGCAGCGCTTTGTGAGAATCGTCATATGTAAGCTATTTCAACTTGTACTTTATAAGCTACTCCTATTATTTTGACTGCTTACTATTCAAATAATTTTACAACAAACACAATGAGTACTTTATTATTGATTTAAATTTCGTTTTAAATTTAAGTGTTATATTCTGCAATAAATGAATTTAATTTTGAAAGGAAATAATCGTAAAAATTTGTTGGAGAAATATTTTTTTAAATTTTTTACTGGTATTTTTTAGTGCTTGGCACTGCTGTTATTTAGACCGCAGTTGTTAGTGTGTGAGCAACTAAATAGGATTATTACTACCTACCCCTGACGCTGCTCTGCACACCACTTCGGCGTTGTTATTCCAACAACCCAGCAACGTTAAGTTGTTGTCATAACATTTTTTATTGCACGCAAGCGTATAAAAACGAATTCTCGCTGAAATTGCTTCGCCGGGATTTTTCCATAAGCCGCCTTTGTTGTTATTGAACATTGAATATTGAATTGTACTAAAATAAAATAAAAATAAAAGTTGAGAAAACATTGAACAGTTGGAGTTAATTTTATTTAATTAAAATGGATAAAAATACAACAATCAAATTGGACCCAATGCGTGTAACGTTGGCGGATATACAAAGAGGGGTAGATTAAGCATTTAAATATTAATAAAAAAAATAATTGAAAACATAAGCTCAAATAAATACAATTTTATTATTTACACACACACACACACACACACACACACACACAGATTATACAAAACAAGCAGCTGGAGGATTTTAAAACATTTGCGGCGACAACACTACAATGCGGCCGCTCCTTGATCGGCTCCGCCAAACGCCAGCCTAAGCATATTAAGGTGACACTGCGTAAGACCAGCGAAATACTGCTCTTCGAAATGCGCAGCCTCACCGCCTTGGCCGACACCGAAGAGGGCAGAGCGGTAGCTGAGGACAATGAACGATATGAGTTTTTAACATCCGCGCAGGGTAGGCGGCGGCGCACTATTGACGCAGAGGCGCAAACAACGGCGCTACTCTTGAAGAGCCGCGACGTCAACACCGAGCGTATACGCACCGACCATATGGCTTCGTATGTGTCGAATTTTGAAATGTTCGATACCTACAAGGATTTGCAAAGCACAACAAAGAGTGTTGAATTAGGTGAGCATAAGAAAATGGAGATCACCACCTACCAAGTGGAGGGCAAGGATACTTTCATCGATATTAATCGGCAGGAAAGCTTCCGTTTGGCGCTTATGTTAACCATGCGTGTGCTCGCTGGGAATGTATTTGAGCAGCAACAGCGTCGTTTTCGTAATATGCGCCTGCCAGATCCGTTGGCAGCTCAAGTGAGCTACCGCTATCGCGTTGAATTGCTGTGGCGCTATCAATTGCCACACGAGCTGGCCGGTGATGAAAGGAAGGCCGCCGCTGATCTCTGTTGGTGTCCGCGGAATGGTGATATACTCGCGGTGGCTTATGGTGTCTACAGCTTTAGAGATGACAATGCAAAGGCGGATGGTTGTGTTTGCATTTGGACTATAAAAAATCCCGTCAACCCGGAAAGATACTATAAATATGAAATACCCGTTATGACTGTTGAATTTTCACCGCACCATCCACAATTGTTGGCTGTCGGCTTGTCGGACGGCACAATTCAAGTGCTCGACATAACCAAGCTGGACAAGGCCACTGTGGCGGTCACAGATCGTCGTTCGTTGCATAATTGCGAACCCATTGTAGCTATTAAATGGATCTCACGTAGTGAACGGATCTGTGAAAAGTACGCCATTGAACCATTCTTGGCGCTCTCACGTGACGGCTCTGTAACCAAATATAGCATTATTAATAGCCCGAAATTGCTGGCGACAAAGTTACTTTTATTGAACCGCAATGCAGCTCAACCTGAGGGTTTACAGCTTGAGCATTCGTACGAGCTGCTGCAGGCCAATCGCCATCCACAGGGACTGAACCTTTGCTTGAGCCCCGCTCAGACGGATGTCTATTATGTTCTAACCGATGAGGGTTGTCTACATAAATGCTCAACACATTATCCCCAACAATATTTAACGGTTTTGCAAGTGCAGGAGGCTGCCGCTAATGCAATGCACTTTTCGCCTTGGTCACCGAAACTCTACCTGACTTGCGGTAATGATTGGTAAATTTTGAAGGGTTCCCGAATGCGGAGTAATCATTTTACTCAAGTAAATATACGAGTATGTATGTATTTTTAGGTCAGTAAATATCTGGTTGGATGGCATTTTACAGCCAATTATCACCTTAAAACATCATGAAGGCCCCATACACTGCGCCTACTGGAGTCACACGCATTCCACGATTATTATCTCGCTGAGCCGGAACTCCGTGGATATTTGGGATATTAAACGAAGCATTTTGAAGCCAATGTCATCGACTAGCATTAACGGCGAACATTATACGAGTTGCAAGTGAGTTAAAGGCTATTCATTAAGCTTTATGACTTTCAGCTCAGAAGTATAATGATTTTACTGGATAGCGCACAGAGGGAGCTCAGTTTCAAAATTTTGTGTAGGGAATTTATTGGATAAAAGAACTGTTGCAGCGAGCGGGAGATATATAAAATATGCTGGGAGGAACTGGCATCTTTTAGCCTTTCCTGGGGCTGGCATACATCTCGGCTTGCAAGGATCCAAGCTTTAGACTGCTTTCCAAGCACCTTGGTTCGTCGAGCATGTTTTGAGCTCTTTGGGTCTTCAAAACGTGTTGAAGCCTAAAGTATGCGAGTGACATTGAACGTAGGGTGTTGCTCGCCTTAACAACTAACTGTATTAATTTTTTAACAATCATAATTAAAGTTAATTTTTTCCATCTCTTTTGCAGATTATCGCTCTGTGGTCGTTCGTTGGCTGTTGGCAATGAAGCTGGTAATGTGTTAATGCTTGCTTTCGAGGACATGCCATTTCCGGCCTACTACCAATATGATCAGCTGGAGAAAGCGATTTACAGTCTGGTTTCTAACGAAAAGGAGATGGCATACAAAGTGAAGAGTCTTGGATTCTTTGGTTACGCGGAACATGTGAGATATCAACCAAAAAAGCGACATAGAAGATGTAAGAATATTCCAAAGGAACCACATTTAACGGATGAAAATTAAAATTACGCTTATTTCAGAGCATTTAAAATAAGTAATAAAGAGATATTGTATTGTGTGTTTTACACCAGTACAAGATTGGGGTGCTTGTCGTGAAGACTAAAAAAAATAGCACTTTCAGCGGAAATAAATTATCAAATTGAACTCTGAGCGTGAGTTTGTCAATTGAAGGATTATCAAGTGAAGAGGAAGATAACCTCGCAAGGAGCACTTCTTAATTGACCAGGGTAACCTCAGCCACGTGTTCGACCTCTACTTTTCTCTTTATAACAGCTCGGAGAAGTCCCTTCCTATCCTGACGGAGCTTTTAGTATTGCTTTAGATCAGTTTGCACAGGCGTACAAGCTTTGCAGGGATACCAAATTCAGACATACCGGCGTAAAAGCCGTACCGCCAAGTTTGAATATCACTGCCAGTCAGCCGTCAGTTCCGGCCGCTTTTTTGTTCTTTAATTGGGGAATCGCTATTCGAACCTCATGATGATCGGGTAGTGGAACGTCTTTTCCATTATCATCGATTGGAATTTCGGGTTCACCATCTCTGGGGGTTTCATTTGTAGGATGGAGAAGTGATCCTTCCATAAATTCAGTATAATCTGGGCATCCGTCGCTAGATCATCTCGTTGTGTCCTACAAAAGTCTGCTCCGGTCTTGAAACACCGTCGTAACTTTTCATAATATTTTCGAGCATTACCTTTATCGGCCAGTCCTCATCGTATCAGCAGCTGTACGTAAGTCCGTCCCATAGTTCTCCTATACCGAGTTGCTGATAAGGGCTCTGGAAAAGCAGGTGTGCAAGTCGAGTAGAAAACCGCTCGGCAGTCTGTTGTGATTGTCGAACTTTCCTTGTGTTTGTTGATTGGCGTTTGATACACAGAGGCGCGGGCTGCAACAATATAGTGGTCCTATGCGATTTTGGGTCCTCGGAGTGTAGGAACGTCAAAAACTCTGGAAACACGTCAATCACAACACGGTCGATCTGTTTTGTGTTTTTTGATCAGGGGACGGCCAAGTAACTTGATATATTTTTTTGTGCTGGAATTTAATTCTACAGGCAACCATATTTCGGGCCACGGCGAAGTTGATCAGCCTCAAACTATTAGGGACAGCTTCGTTGTAGAGGCTGAATTTTACGACAGCTTTGGTGAAGATAGCTTTTTTACCCACCCTTGCACTGAAGTGTCCAAGCACAATTTTAACGTACGAGTACGCTCCAATCACTCATAATGGCATCTTTGGCCAAATCGTCATTTTCTTCCGTCTGGGTGTGGGTGCAAATTATATATTGAAAAATTATCGCTTTAATGCGGATTGTGGCGAGACGTTCATCCACCGCTGCAGCATATGTCACAAGGACCTCCTCGTTTCCGTCCTTGCCACGTCATTCTCAATTCTTGGACAGCGGTGATGTCGGCACCTTACCAATTAAGGTACAAGACATTCCAGGCGTATGCCCTCAAATCGTGATCCTTAATTCGTTTGCTAGGGTCGTCATTGGAAAATGCGTATCTTATCCGAGGCTTTACAAATTTTTTCATTAGTGCTGATTTATACATGGCGGATGCCAAGTCCACCGCTCAATCTCTGGCTAGGCGAGTAAGTTTAAAGTATTTACCCATTTATATAGCTAACCGCTTGCTTCAAGACTGACGCCCGCTCGCAGACGTATCTCTGGTGAACAGACGCGGAAATAACCCTTAAACTGAATAAATGGGAGTGGCTCCACTGAAGCTTCCTCTCCTTTAGCCGTGGCCCAAGGCTCCACGGATCCACGGATTAGTCACCGCATCTTGCAGAAGGGTTGAGCACGCATCCAGGGTGCGCGAAGTGGACGTAAGAATAGGAACTGAGTACGCTCGTTACCACCTTTTTTGTAAATTAGTTCATTAGAAAGCGCACGATGCAAAACGTAAAAACTAAATATATTGTGTTTTCCTTAATGGACATTTTAAGCTGTCTTCAAATACATAACAGCTATTGGTTACCGAAAAAGTGAGGTTATGTTAAGCCACCATTCTCACCTTGAATTCTTTATTTACTTCACAGCTTGTTAAATACTGTCTCTTGCAGTTTGGCTTTAACGGTACGCTACACCTTCCATACAATTAATTCAGCGATAACACTTATTTTTATTTTCTTTTTTTGTTAGTTTAATTCAACTTTATGGAGTGATTTTTACATACACACATTCGTAGCACTTTTGCATATCACAAATCCTTATCACAGTCACACCTAACCTTTAGGCATTCATTTTCCTTGATTTAAATTCACTTTAGAATTTCCGTAGAGTTCGTACCCATTATGAAGCCGGCCATAGGCGTGTGCGCACACCCAAAGAAACTTCTTCCGTACACTTACAGCAGACAACTTCTAACGGCAGGCAAATTACGCGAAATGCACAAAAGGAACTAATCATCTGGATAGTGATTTATTTCAACTTATTTAAATTTATCTCCAATACAGCTAATTCTGCGGTTTGGCATTCCATATTTTCCAAGTTCAAAAAATTACCTTAGTTGCGGTTTGCTAACGATTTATGAGATACAGTTTTAACACTCAATCGAGTCTCTCTGTAATAAATATTTATGCATATGTGCATGTGTGTGAAAGAGCAATTGATAATAACGTTGTATATAATTTATCAACGCGCATTGCTGGCAGTTGCGATTCTGCTTTAAATTAAATCTAATGACACAAACGCATTTTGTATTGCCGCTATTGATGCCTGAAAGGCAGTTGGTGCGTGTTTTCCCAGCGCCATACAACGAAGCCGTTTCGCCTTTTGCCGAAGTGAAGGATTTTTCCAAAGCCGTGCGTTTTGAATCACAGTGGCAGCCAAAATTGAAGTTACCACCACGCAAAGTCATACTAATCGGCGATGTGGCGGTGGGCAAGACGACGTTGGTTAACAGGTGAGTTTGGTAAAAAGTTCGGGACTTGCATGTTTTTTTTCAACTTATTTTTGAACATTTTCAGATTTTGTTTCGATAAATTTGCCGAAAAATACAAAGCGACCATTGGTGTTGACTTTGAAATAGAGAATTTTAATGTTTTGGGACAAAGTTTTACGCTTGAAATGTAAGTGGGAAGCTCATTAGGGCTGAAAAATATGTATACATATATATATATATGCGCTATATATATGTGTTATTATTAATAAAAATAATCATAATCTTATATATTTTAGCCACTCTTACTTTAAGGTTTATTAGTATTAATTCCTTATTATAATTTTTTCAGTCCTTATAAATGAAGTTTTATATTTAGCTTTGAGTTTTCTTTTATTTTTATTTGTTTTTTAACTTTTTGTTTCAATTTGCCTAATTTATATTTATTATTTACTTTTTTTAATTCTGTATTGTTATTTTTTTAGTCCTTATAAATTAAATTTTCCATTTAAGTTCATTCACTTTCCACTTAACTTTGAGTTTCCTTTAGTTTTATTTATTATTTAACTTTTTGTTTCAATTTGTCTAATTTGTTTTTTTATTGAAATTTTTTACACTTTAATTGCTTATTTTTATTATTTTAATCTCATATTATTTTCTCTTTGTGTTTTACTTCCAGGTGGGACACAGCCGGCCAGGAACGCTTCAAATGTATTGCACAGGCTTATTACCGAAATGCTAATGGTAACTTTCAAGCACTTTTTGTTTCTTAATTCAGGAAAACTAAATTGAAATAAAACTTCTTACAGTTATTATAGTCGTTTTTGACATGTCCAAACCGGAAACACTGCATTCGGCAACGAAATGGCTGAAAAGCGCGCTGGCTGTCAACACAATACAAATGCCGCTTACATTTTTAGTCGGCACTAAGTCGGATATGCTGGTAAGCAAGTAGCATTTCCGCCATATGTACATATATTTTTTCGTGAAACAACACATTTACTTTTATTTAAAGCATAAGAAGCTCAAGAGACGTGTTATTCACTGCATTCTCTTCTTGCCGCACAAACGCACATGTAAGACTGAATTATGTCTTGCGACGGAATAAGCGACCTATGCACTACCGAAATCTTTAATAATATTTTTGTTTTATAATTTGTTCTTTATATACAAAACTATTAAAAATTATTTTTATTTTCTATTGCAGAGCAAAGAAGAATTTGTACGAGTTGAACGTTTAGCAGCTGATGTTGCTGATGGTATTAAAGCTGAATATTGGTCGGTTTCTGCGCGTACAGGTTATAAGGTAGTCGATTTCTTTCAACGTGTCGCTGCATTATCGTATGAAACCGCATGCAAAGATGCAATTATTGAGCGTCACTTTCTTGAGAAATCCGTTGCGGTGCGATTACAACGAAAATCAAAACAATGCGGTTTGGATGCTTTTAAACAAGTTTCACTTAAATTTTTTTAAACTTTTTTATCATTTCTTCCTTAGATTTTCGTCACAACCATTTAGGCAACACGGGAAATTCAACTAAAGGAAGAAGTTTATGCTTTTGTACATGATTTTCTATAATTACGATCTGTTACTATAAATAATATTTAAATGTTAATAAATATTTCACGAAAATTATAGATCAATTGATTTATTTATAAGAAAAAATATGCATTCATTGCTGCCAAATATTGTACACATTATATATGTATATACACAAATAGAAAGACAATTTCACTTGACACTTAAACAGGGCACAAACGTTTTTACTTATATGTATATAATTGGAAACTTGTAACCGCAGAAGCGATTTTCGGCCCAAGCTTCTCCTCAAACTTGTGGTATACTTTATTTATACTAAGCTGCCTCCGAACGGCTGATCGTTTTTTATGAAGAGCTTTATTTTGTGTCCGAAATACACTCGGAGGGGTGGACATTCCCTGCCCAGGGCGACCGCAATTGGAATCATGAACTTAATTTTTAATTTATATTAATATTTTATAAGTTTTGCATGTTGGTGGTACCATTATTCGAACCCGAGCCTTCCGAATGTCAGTAAGCAATGATAAGCACTCGGCTGCTGTTCGTTCTTTTACTCACTCTAAGAAAAAAAAGTTGATAAAGTTTAATTTTAATCGCAAAAACAATATGGCAATTATTATCACTCACAGATTTATACGGTTTATCACTATTAATCAAATTGATTTTGATTTCTTCAAAGCATTATTTCAACTTTGCACTTCCTGTTTGGCATTTCCTACTGTTACAGAGTTGCATTTATCATTTTCGAAAAGGTACATTGAATGAACGGAAGTGGTATTGGAAGTCACTTTACTAATTTTCTAATAAATAACAAACAGTAAGAGCTTAAATTAAGTCATATTTCCTAAACCCTGATACTTATATACTAGCTAATTCTTATGAAATTAATGCAAGGTGCTCATTTTTTTTAAATGGAAAAGCAAAACAACAAAATCAATAAACAGGATAATAATATAAAAACCTTTGAAAAGGTTTAAACAAGTTTCAGCGTATATAGATCTATAAATTCTGAACTGTGAGGCAATGCTATAACGGTTCTCGAAGCTTTAGATATAATGAATTTGTTGTATGTAAACAGATATGTATTTGCCCGAAAATTGCTTCAGCGATTACATAGCACCTATTATGTATATAAGTAGATATTGGATTATTCAAAAAATTGCTTTAAAACTTTATCAGTAGCATAAATAAAGATTTAAACCAATTTCGTACTTCTTTCTAAGGCAATATTTCCTGACAAAATCACATGGTTGCATTTCTGAAATGTTGTTCGAACTTTCAGAATGTTTCCAAATATTTGACTCTTCTTGACAATTGTGTTCGAAATTCGTAAATGAGAACTTCCGCCTTTTTGACAAAGACAGAAGATTTTCCTTTCCATTTCTTTTTTTCGTAGTAATGGCACCCAAAAAGCCTGCCGAGAAATCCGGTAAGGAAATTTTAACCAATTTAATGCATTTTATGCTAAGAAATGTGAACAAATTGTGATTTGTATAGTTTAGATTAGTGTGGAGATAAAAATAAACACTTTTTAAACCCTAAATTGTTTAATTTTTGTTGAGAAAGTCTGGTGTGTTGTTCAGCCACGCGGTACCTGCTAGTGTAGGAGATAAAATTGTTTAAATGGAAATCTTAAAATAGTTTTGAAACGTGCAATAATCGGATAGCAGTAACAAAAAATTAAGTGTAACCATTGGTTTTGGTTTTATTTCACAGTTTTATTATAAAATGGCCAGTTTTAATTTATTTGATTTGTTTATCAACTATATGTTTTATTCATAACCTCAATTCTCATTTGGTGCATATACCTCTTCGAATCACTTCAATATATATTTGCCATTTTTATTTTTTAGCCAAATCAGGCGACAAGAAGCCTGAGAAGAAGCCATCGGCCACATCAGCCGCCTCTGCTTCAGCTGCTAAACCCGCTGCAGCAAAGAAAGCTGCTCCAGCCGCTGCTAAGAAGCCAGCTACTGCAGCCGGTGGTGTGAAGAAACCAGTTGTTAAGAAACCCGCAGCTGCCAAGAAAGTTGCAACCAAGACTAAGCCAAAAGCTAAGGATGTCAAGAAGAAGCTTGCTGCCGGTAAGAAGCCACAATCTTTGTTGGCTAAATTGTCCGCCAAGACTCGTGCCGCAGCCAAGGGCAAGAAGGTAGCCGCTAAGCCAGGCGCTAAATTGCAAAAAGGTACAGCTAAGGCTAAGGCTGTTGCTTTGTTGAAGGCAAAGAAAGTTCAAACCAAGGTATTAAATCATAAAATTCTTCATTTGGTCAAAATAAACAATCAAACTTTGTATTTTACAGATCGTCAAAGGTGCTTTTGGTACTCGTACACGCAAGATTCGCACCAATGTGCACTTCCGTCGTCCAAAGACTTTGGTGTTGCCCCGTCGTCCAAAATACCCAAGGAAGTCGGTGCCAACCAGAAATCGGTGTGTTCATTAACTAACCAATGTTTTCACACAACTTATTTACAAATTTAATTTTACTTTATTTGAACAGCATGGATGCTTACAATATCATCAAGTACCCATTGACAACTGAAGCCGCCATGAAGAAGATTGAAGACAATAACACTTTGGTGTTTTTGACTCACCTGCGCGCTAACAAGAATCACGTACGTGCCGCCGTACGTAAATTGTACGACATCAAGGTAGCTAAGGTTAACATCCTGGTGAGACCCGATGGTCAAAAGAAGGCTTACGTACGATTGGCGCGTGATTATGATGCGCTAGATATTGCCAACAAGATTGGTATCATATAAACGTTGCGCATAATACGTTTCTTTTATATATAGCAATTTTCAGTTAAAACAGACAAACGGATAGAACTTACTTTTATCTAAAATAAAAAATATAAAAATACATTTCTTCTATTTAATTTTTATATTAAAAAATATGGGAATTTTAGATTTCATTTTTTTTTTTTTGCTACCATGGTAGAAGGGAAGTTTTCATTGTTTTCAGATACTAGCTCTGGAGTAGTTTTCATAAAGAACTTGGTTTATTCTACTTTGAATTAAAAGGTAATTTCATTTGCTCAAATTTCTATTTTTAATACTTAGATCAACTAATTTTTTTATTTGTATTTCAGATTCCTAATGCCAGTTTTTAAGCGAAGGCTTTTATCACAAGGTAATTAAAATAACTAGGCAGCCATAAATAATTGACATTTTCTAAGTGATGATATATTAGTAGGAATCTCATTGAGTATCACTCTGTGTTATTATGAAAACATATTTTTTAACTGATTAAATTCAATATTTCTAAACTTTATTTTTCGTAACATTTATTTAACTCGCTCCTGTTTTATTTCAGGCTCATGGGGGAAATGTAACTTTGCGTTAATATCCAGTGGAATAAAAGGTAATTTTAACATAAATGTTCAATTCGTTGTTCAAACTATGATGATATCTTTGTAGGAATCTCATTGAATTCCGATAACGTAATAATGAAATCAAATTTAATAGCTGATTTTAAACTGGTTGCTTAAAGCGTTTTTAGTTTTAGTACTCCTCACTAAATCAATTATTTTCTCCTCTTTACAGGCAGTAGAGTAGACTAATCGGCTTCTGGGCATTGAAGGTAATTTTAATAAAAATGTTTTAAATTTGATGGTCGAAATTATGATGATATCTTTGTAGGAATCTCATTGAATTCCGTTAACGTAATAATGAAATCAAACTAATTAACTGATTTTTAAATTATTGTTAAAATAGCATTTAGTGTTAATAATCTTACTAAATAGTTTCTTTTTTATTTTACAGGTAATCGAAATCGGGCAATACATGGATGATGGTCATATAAATTGTTATAGTTTTAGGTTTATTTATAGACTATAGATAACTAAAAAAATATTAATAAAGAATTGACAAATTTCCAAAAAAAAAAACTATTTTTATTATTAGAGCGAACTCTTAATGTAAAGATAAATATTCTAGCTTAGACTAATTTGAGTCATCTTAAATGATTGTTTTTGCAGATAAATACCGGCTATTGTTATTGTTGACTAGTTTTAAGTCATAGAGGTCATTTAACGGTAAATCCAGGAAACAAGCTGTTTCTACGCTTACCAAAGGTATAGAGGAGTTATGAGATGGCTTGGCTGAGTTCAGGATGTACGATGAGTGTCGGGTCTAGATAGTCTAGATAGATAGAAATTAAGTCGACAAAATATCCTGGTCTTAATTGTGTGTGAAGGCACACTGGCGGGGAAAAAGTTTAGAGAAATTGAACAAGTAGGATGAGGACATTACCCTGCGGAACTCCTTGTTTAATGTCACGTGGAAGTTTGGTTTCGAAACCCTTAATGACTACCGGCCACCTAGGCAGCTCATGATCCAACATATTCAATAGCGGGGGTAATGAGGAATATTTCAGAAGTACTATGTAAGCTGTTACAAAGTGCCAATTTTATGTGAACGACATATGTACGTATAGCAATTATTTGTTTTAAACAACTGTTACTCTACGCATGGCAAACAATCAAGCACGAATTATTTCGAATAATTTTTTTTACAATTCAAACATTACACACATACAGATGTGTATTTTTATAAAATTTTCTTACCTTTTTTTTTCAATGAAAGAGCTATTTATGCGAGGGTCTTTTCTTAAGCATTTTTGAAAAATTTGTGTTGATTTAAAGAGAATTAGAATTTTAATTAATGATTGTAGACAACTAGTTATATCGCAAAAACTTTTTAATGCGATTTTATTAGCTTGGAAGCACTGTTTGCTAGATGTCATGGCGGCTATATACAGCCAGACAGAGAAGTGTCAAATAGAAAAAACTTACTAAACGCGATTATCTTCGGATTTGCAGATTTCTCTGGCTGAAATTTCAAAAGAAAAATTTTAGTAAATTTATAAGCATTCAATCAATATTACATATATAGTGCGAAATAATTCTATGCCAAAAAGGCAATTAATTATGGCGCTATTTACTATGCTGTGATTTGTCAGTTTAATCGATTTGTTCAACCAGCTACTCAACCGTGCAATAATACGGGAGGGGTAGGGTAAATTACATATTCCAGGACAAACAGCGACAGTGTGTCGCAAACAAGGACGTTCGGTTGAAGATTAAACAACTGAGTATTAAAGCAAAGAAATGTATAACGGCATTGGTTTAACAACGCCACGCGGGTCAGGCACTAATGGACATGTACAGCGTAATTGGGCATTTGTACGACCCGGCAAAAAAGACAATTCAAATTATCGTTCTGAAGAAGATATCAAAAAATTAGACGCAACCTTAAATCGTCCACCTAATAAGGAGATATTAGATCATGATCGAAAACGTAAGATTGAAGTGAAGTGCATAGAATTCGAGGAGATATTGGAAAAGCAAGGGTGAGTTACAAATACATGCACGTACAAATGAAAGTATTATTATACTTAGTTAACACAACTTAGTAAAAGTAATAAAATAAAAACAAATATCTAATTGATAAGACACGTGTGCCTTTCATTAAAAGAAATGTCCTTAAAAACAGTACAAATGCTAAAATTATCACTCGCATGTTCTCCACTCCATATAAATAATTCAGCTGTTATTGTTATTGTCAATCCTCTCTTTTGGCCTAGAGCAATTCAATGTAGTCTTACCATCCGATTTCGCTTCTGTTCGTCGACATCTCCTATTTTTAGCCCCATGGGGGTGGCAATTGAACAATAAAGACTGTTATTCGCCTCTTTCATACATAATTGTCACGCTAGCTCAACGAATAAGGTGTAAACTGTTATTTTGTTTGTGCGCTCAAACTGCATAGCAGTAAGAAGCCCATAAAAATCAAGCAATTAACGTTGAGTGGAAAAAGTTTTTAGATTTTTCTTTAAAAAAATATAAAATAAAATTGGACACGTCGATATCATCTTTATAAGGTAAATCAAATTAATATGTATATAGGAAAAGTTTCAAGCTGGAATAATGCAAATAAGCGAAAATTGAATCTTGGCAGTTTATCGATCTTTCACAACTCTTCTTGCTTTAACTATTTTACAACATTGTGGGTCAATTTATGATTATGATTTTAAATGTAGTTTTACTTGTTGTGTTCTTATATATGTATATAAAATTTTTAATTTTTCCAGGCGTACTCCAGAAGAAATAAAAACAAAAGTTGATTCGTATCGTCAAAAGTTAATGGGACTAGGAAAAAGCGATTTACCAAAGGATGAATTTGGAAGAATAGCGTAAGTAATGAAAATTTGCAGTTAAAGTGTCTATCAGTAATGTCAGTTATAGTTGTCGTTTTTGGTAAGGAATTTCAAATGTTTGGTATACCCTTATTAAAATTATCAAACTAGTTGCAATCAAACATAAAGTTCCATAAATTTTGCAAACTTTTGCTAAATTTCGTGACCCAAAAGTGTTATCAGCAAACTTGAAAGCTTTAACTCTACGTATTATATAACATAAAATACCTTCGTAGCAAGTGTGTTGCAACCCTTACAGCTTCTTATTTGCTTCTGAGCGCTCGGCAGATGAGACTATAGAGAGGCATTTTCATTGCATTCGCTCTAGCTCGCCACCCACCACCACCACCACCTTACCACCCTTGTTGGGTGCTGCGACTTCTCAATATAAGTATCATTTGTGCTTGATACAGATTTTGAAGTAGTTCAGTCAAATCAAGTCTTCCATGGTTGAAACAATCGGAAATTGCATAGCTTTCAGTACAATATATTGCAAAACTAAAAATAAAAGTCTATAAAATTAATACAAGCAAAAATTATAAAAAATATAAGAAATTTTCTTAAAATTATTTCTTAAAATAGAAATCAGAGTGAAAAATCGGCTGCTGTTGATAAAAGCTGTATGCCAAAACTACGAATCGCATGAAGCAGATAAATTGAGAAAAATCGATAATCAAGATATACAGTAAAAATGAAGATGTAGCTTGGAAAGTATCATCAATCATGCGACGGTGGCACATAATACGGAAGAAATATAAAAATGAACAGTGTAAAATAGTCAAAAAATTATATTTGTATTATATACTTCATAACAACCGGTAGCTGCATATCTAGAATTTTGGCAGCGAGCTTTGCCTACTTCTCAGTCGTACCGATATCGTTGTAAAACTCATAACCATGTTTCATTTTGGCAGTACGGAATTGTGGTGTATAGTGGAAAATAAATGTGGTTTTTCTTCAACTAAGTGGATTAGCGGATTAACATGAGCTAAATGAAGGAGACCGGTGGTTGGCAACTGAAGGCGGAAATGAAATTTCAAGTTGTTAGAACAAGTAGTAAAATGCGTTAAACTTCACATTAAGGCAACAAATCACTCAAAACAGAGTCTTCCATTTATATATATATATATATAGTAATTAAGTTAATTAGTTATAAACTAACAGGCTTCGGAGACGGTTAGCTTACAACAGAAAACAATTATATAATAATGTTAAAAATATATACTATACAAACATATTAGAAATGTGGAATTTGTAATAAAAATCGCTATAATTATATTTAAACTTATATTGAACGAATGAGGTTATACACGAATATACACACAGATAATTCGATGTATTGCAAATAAAATAACGTATAAATAGTGTACATTGTTTAATAAAATATATTTTAAAAAAATGTCAAAACAAATTCATAATCAATTGTCTTCCATGAGATTGAAATTTTGCTAAATAAATTTAATTGATTTATTAAGTATAAAGAAGTATATTAAAAAAAAAAGATATTTAAAAAAATATTTTTGAAAAAACTTTGAAAGTAAAGTTAGCGCAATTATTTTTTAAAAAGTATATGAAAAAATGTAAATCCATAGTCTTCCGATTAGTGCGCTAATGCCAGAGATTGTTATTTTAAAATCGTATGTAGTAGTATATATACGCAAAGTGAATATAGTCAAGGTCTTCCAAAAAATTAACATTCATACTTAAAATATAAAAATTTAAAACTTACATATACATAATGCTAATGTTTTTCTATAAGAATCCAATGTCATCCATACTAGTTTAAAAAGAATTTAATACAATATTAAAAAGCATTTTTACCATTTCAAGTTTAAAACTTCCAAAAGGCTTGAACCAAAAATTTTAATTCAAATTATTCTAAATAACTTAAATTATGATATTAAATACACACACCAACAGCTCTTTAAATAATGAACGAACATTTCCCCCAAAGCTAAAAAAAAATAAAAATTTTTATAAATTGTATTAAGATAAAATATCAGATTACGGTTTAGTGTGTGCAAAGAAATGATTTCATCGACCATATATGCCGCACCGCTCACTCGCGATCTAACTTCAGATGGGATTAGTAAAATGCCCAAACCCAAAAAACGTCGTAAACGCCGGAAACGCTGTGCCACCACCGTCACAACCACAGCACCCACTATATCCTCCACTACATCGACCATACCACGAGAAACCGATAACATGCTCTCAGTAGCCACAGTCTCCAGCAGTACCAGCCCCTGTAAAAATACAGTAACAACGCGATGTCGTGCTGTTGAAAACAGAGTGCGGCGTTACTTCCAACACGATACACGTGAGGTAGCCAAAACGATAGCAGAGAGTGAAATCAATTATGCCGCCGTAGCTAAAAAATTTAGACCGCTTGCCAACGCTGTGAATAAAAACCAAACACAAAAACGGAAATCCACGCATTTGTGGCATACACAACAACAACAACAACAACAACTGAAAAATGCTAAACGTCAGCAGCAAAGACCAAAAATGCTCTCAAAATATGTAAGAAAATCTATGCCGCACTGTTGTTCATCCTCAGCAAACAACTCGGCGTACTCGCATTATAAATGCGCATGTGCTGCTGCTGCCACCGTCGCTCGCCCTCGCGTGAAAAACACATGTCGAAAGAATAACAAATTTTCCGAAATCATGAAATTTAATAACAAACAAAATGCTATACAACAACAGCAGGCGGTAGTTGTTGAGTCGGCATTGCTGATGGAAGAGTTGCTGCGAAAATTAATTAACGCTCAGCATAATAATAATGTGAATACGAATATGAGCAATTCGAAGGCACATTTGTTGAATTTATTGCAACATACCGATATTACTTCTGCCGCTGCGCCACGCCTATCACTCGTAGATACGCTTTTAGGCGAACAATTCCAGCAGACGACAAGTCTATGTCAACAACAGCTTAGGCATGTCGTTAGGTACATACGAGTACACTTTTGTTTTAAATTTATAAAAATATTAATTACTAAACATGATGATGATGATGAGGTAAACCTCACTAATTAACCCATCATTTACTTGCAGTGTCCGAGAGACTCATCAAATTGCTGAAGCGCAACAGGAGAAAAACGCCAAGCTGCGTGAAGCTTTCAATATATCTGAATATTTTGTCGAAGGCTCCAGTTTTGACTCGGATCGTAAAGCTAAGGAAGATTTAGCCAAAAGTCTGGCGCTACAAAAGGAATTAGACGCGCAACGCGAAAGCGCGGCTGCAGGCAGAGAGAAGGAGAAGGAACGTGACGATAAGCGTCGTTATGCTTTAGTGCGCACACCATCACGTGAAAAAGACAATACCGGTAGTGGCGGTAGCAAAGCTGATAACAGTGATAATGAAGTTCACGAGCATGCTTCGAGATCGGAGAAAAAGAAAAAGAAGAAACGCACACGGGATAGGTGAGTATCAGCGGTTGGAGTGTCATGCGTCTCACACTCTAAATATTTGAGTGTGAAACAACAAGTTTTCTCACAAATATTACTAAATTTAATAACATTTCTGTTTCACTTTTAGTTCTGGCAGCCCTGAACGTAAGAAGGACAAGAAGAAAAAGTCTAAAAAACACAAAAAAGAAAGGTGAGCTTGTTATGCCTCCTAAAAGTATGCTATATTTATTTTAGTGATACGCATAGTGTCACGTTAAAAATCGATTGCACTCGGTATTTTTAGATAGAATAAATTTTCAATTTTTAATTTCAATTTAAAATACTTTTTAGTTAAAATTGAAAATATTTTTATTTATTTTAATTTTTTTTTTACTTTTTTTAATTTTTTAAGTAGTTGTGTCTCATTTTATGACATATTTAAGCCGTTAATTTTTCATATAAACTTATTTAGTTAAATAATTCAATAAGTAATTTAATTTTATTTGATAAAAAAATGTTAAACAAAATCTTCTTCTTCCTCTCAATTGCTCAACATTTTTATCTCTCCTTTCTTTTTGCATATTTAAAATAATCTAAATTTTAAATGGTAAACAATTATCTTATACTAAAGGAGTTATAACAAAAAAGAAAGAAAAAAGAAAATAAAGACAATACAAAATAACCATAATAATATCTAACGACAGCACATGATATATGCAAAGAACTTCAATAATATAAAAAAGAAACATTTTCAAGAGTGTAGCGAAAGAAATATACGAAAAACACATGCAATTTTTATGTACATACTACATGCATATACGTTATAAAGAAAAACAACAAAAAACAAATACTTTATTTTTTTGTTAGAAATTTATTAGAAGAGTGTTACGAGCATTGCTTTTGTGTTAGCCCAAGCGTAATTCATTAAAACATTTGTACAGTTGAACAAATTTTTATTAAAATTTCCCGTTAAACATCTGTATATGCCATAAGACACTAACATCGTGCATCGTCATTACGTCATTTATACATACAACATCATCATCAGCAGCACCATCAGACATATTCAATTGTAAAAATACTTGCAAGTGTGTCAAAAAAATAGTTAAAGAGAAAACATAGCAAAGTCAACAACGTACTCGTCTTGCCAATTGGTATAAACAATAAACAACAAACAATCAACTAAACGTTAGTTTACAATATTTCTAATACATATTTCTGCTTTTTTGAACAATGAAAACCAAAAATATTTTATTCAAAACATTAATTTACATAATTTTCAATCGCTATGGCAAAAATGTATACGTGGGTAAGTAAAGAAAATTTAATAAGATGTTGAAACTTTCATTTTGTCATTAATACTGAAATTGTTAGAAAGTAATTAAAAAAAAAAAATAATAATAATAATAATAATTTTAAAATTCATTAGGTACATCTTTTTAAGTTATTTATTGATGGCATTTTTTTTTTGTTCAAAAACTCGTTGCTTCAAATGTCTAGTCTCGAAAATGACTCTTATCTACTAACATAATACATTTATTACATGCGCACATATTATATAATAATCAATAAATTTATTCTTAATAGTAAATTCTTAAGAAATCAACTAAATTCCATTTACATATATAATATTTAATAATAAATTAATATCATTCAAATATTTATTTCGCAAACATCATACAATTACATACATACACGTAAAAAGACTTAAGATAGGTCATTTAAAAAAAGCCGAAAATTTACACATTTCAACACATGAAATATGAAATTTTAACAAATTAATACATAATAATGAAAGAGAAATAATTTTCAAATACTCGTACAAAGCATAATTTTCAAATGCTTAGAACAAACTAATTACCAACTTTCTTTACGTTTTTTTTTTTCTTTTGCAAGTCAATTGTTCAAGAATTAAAAGAATTTATTTTCTCGTTTTTCTTTTCCTTAAGACAAACCAATTATGAAGATTTTATAATAAGGTAAACCATTAACGAGATCATCACTTAAAAGAGCGTAATAAAAGAATGCATAAGCAATATAGAAATGTAAATATGGAAATAAAAAAAAAACACGAGTGTGGTGAAAAATATATATGCGCTGAAGATTCATTACAAAATAACTCGAAATCAATAGTAATAATTTTTTCCGGGTATTTCACATTAACAAATAATATTAAAATATAACTCTCCATTTGCTACTTTGTAATTCTATACAAAAAACTGAAAAAAAAATTCAAAAAATTTAGTGAGTTTGCTAAAAATATTACATGGAAACAAAATACTCATTGTTGTTGTTGTCGTAGTAACCGCAAAAAGATTACCCAAATCGGTTTGCGGAGATTATTGCTAGAGTGACAGTTCTTGGTCGCATAAAAATCCTTTTAGTTCCGGTATAAAGACCCGACTGTCGCGGGCACTATTGTATTTTAGTCGCCTCTAACGAAACTCATGACTTACGGTGGGTAAATTCTTGAATCCCTAACCTTCAGCGTGTGAAAAAAGACACTCTCTTAGGCGCTGCCTAAGGCTTTACATATATATGTATATCATTCGGCAACGGAAGCTCACTTTATTTCAGGGTTAGCTATGCATACTTCCAAGTAATTACAGTAAATTTGATTCAAGTGTTTCAAAGACTGTAAGAAATAGACGGATTTGGGCTAAATTCAATCCATACCGTCATTTTTACAAAATTCCTGTGTATTTTTCTTATTTGTTCTGATTGTTGTAAATAATTAAAAATACTTTTGCTGTTGAGGGGTAAAGCCACGCTAGAAGTTGAAAAATATTATATACTCAGGTCAGGAATTTATATTTAACCATTTCATTGAGCTTATATTGAAGTATAAAAAAATATTCTTTAATTTTTATTTTGTCACATAATGGCGGTGATAAACTTGATTATTTAATCCTGTTTTTTTTGAAAGTTGTCCACGGGAGAACCGATTTCTTTTAAAGGATGTAAGCTAGAACAGAAAAGCAAAAAGTTTTATGAACTACAAACTATGGTCTTTGGAAGTATGTGCGGATTTATTTTCTAGCTCATTTTTGTAAAAGCGGCACACTTAAAAAAAATAGATTTTTTACTAAAAATGCGCATTCAATTATTAAAAATAAGAGTTTAGTTGTATTTTTGAAGCTACCATCAAAATTTCAGATAAATCGCTGCAATAAAGTCTGAATAATCTGTCCACCCAGTTTGAAAAATGTAAGTTTGAGAAAAATGCGTTTAAAATTGTCATTGTACTCAGTGCAGCAAAATAAAATCAGAAGTTTAGCTCTTTGAAATATTTTTTTCACTTTAAAACCAATTACTTATCATTTCTACGACCCAAAGGTACCCCGTGAAAAAAATTGGGTTTTCCAAGAACCTAGAGCGCCTTTACCCCTTAAGAATCGCCTCCTAAATACAATATTAATATGTGAAAAATGCCTTTTTCACACTCAGAGGATTAAGCAATTACCATAATTTCCATTTTTAAGTCAACAATTTCCCCAACCAATCATTTTTTGCTTTAGCATTAATATTCAGTGCTAATGCTGTACCAAATATTAATATTATAATAAATGCTAAATATTTTTAAAATTATGAAAATCTCAAAATTTACTTTTATCTCTGTACATTTTTTTTTTTTAGGTTCAACTGAGCATAAATAAAATAGTATATTGTAGACGTGTTTAATGACTAAAATATTTTAAATAAATCTCCAACCTTTTACTTCTCCATTGCAGTAAATCGAAAAAGAAGAAGTCACGCAAGCGTAAAGCAAGCGAATCCGATAGCGGAGATTCCGATCATGGCTATGATCATGAGAAGAATAGCAGCGATTCAGAGTACGAGCAGAAGAAGCAACGCAAACGCGCCAAAAAGGATAAGGTAAGTGCGCAAAAAAGTTTTAGAAGTAAAGTAGAAATAGTGAAAAATAAATAAAAATGTAAAAAAAGACATTAATTTATATGTAAATGTAACTAACCGTCAAAGATACTTTAATAGAATTTGTGAAACAAGCTGTCAAGATTGTCAAATACATACATATATACCTATAATGAAGTTTGTTTATTAGCTAAATATGTATAAATATGTAACATTTTATTTATTTATTTATTTTTTTTTTAATATTTATATACATACATATTTTTAAATGAAACGCATGCATTCTCTATAACATATAATTCTCTAATTCACTTCAATTTTTATTATCAAATCTTACATTCTTCCAAACTATGAACAAACAATTAAACGTATGCAATTTTTCTCTTGCCTATTTTTTCTACGATATTACGAAAAAAAAACCAAAAAAAAAAAAACTTTTATACGACCAAAGCCAAACCCGATATAAAACAATATAAACTAAAAATTTTACACAAAAAAAATATGTATATACATATATATATTTTATATGTATATAAAATTCTTGCGAAACGAAAAGGTAAACGTTTGTCATTGCTTCATAAACATTTTCATTTATTTACTTAGCTTTTTGTTTGATTCTGATTTGTCTTAGTGTGGTAGAATAGTTTTAATTGGTTTTTATTTTTGTGTAATGTTTCATTGCTTTGACTGCACCTCATCATAGTACTGCGCCCACCTTTTTGTAGTAGTTACATTTAAAACATGTTTTTAACTCAAATAGGAAATTGGAAAATAATTATAATTTTTATTTTTTTTTTTAATTTTTTTTATTTTTTTTATATTGTTTTTTTTTTTATTTATTTTTTTATATTGTTTGTTTTTTTTTTTTTAATTTTTTTATTCATTATGGAATTATTGAAAAATGTGACTTAATTTCAAGTACATAAACCCCCTAAATGTGCCCAAAATTACAAGTTTAAGGGGCACACCTAGTGTAATGGCCTAAAAGAAGGTGATTTTTCGGTATTTTTATTAAAAAAAAAATACTTTATTAATTATTTTAAATTTTTAAGAATATATTTATACATGTTTCAAGAATATACAGTGAAATTTTTGAAGAAAAAAATTATATACTTTTTAAGTTATAGTCGATCTCCAACGGCGCGAAAAAAGCTCCTTCACTGCTGCAGTGATTCCGGCCTTCTCCGTGGATGAAATCTAAAAAAAAAAATTTTTCTACTAGATCATATTGTCTGTACAATAACCTACGATAAATAAAAAAATAGTCGAATTTTACCCAAAATTTTGGTCGTTTTTGGCCTGCCAAAATTCGATTTTTAGATCAGTTCAAAAATCGATCGGCCATTGTACGGAGAACTATATATAGAACATGTAAAAAAAATTTGATAGTGAACGGATCATTTGCTTTTGAGTAATCACTGCAGAAAATTCGGAAAATGCTGTTTCGAGAAAAACGCGTTCAATGATAAAATGATCGTTTTCACTCGTAGCTAAGGAGACTCTCTAGCTGCCGAGCGGCTGCTCTTTAAATTGCTATAACTCAGAAACTAATTGAGATATCGATGAAATTTCAATATGTCATTTTTAAAGGTGTAATCTACCGAAATATAAAAAAAAATTTTTTTTTTTTTGAAATTTCACGCTAGGTGTGCCCCTTAATCTCAAGTATGTAGCTACTCATTTGGGATTTTTGTTTCGGCAGACAAGAAAAATGCTCTCTGCTTGCATCACAATCCTTCCCTTTTTTCTTTTCTTTTTTTCCTATTTTCCTTCTTCATTTCTTGGTTTTTTTTTTCTTTTTTCTTCTTCTTTTTTCCTTTTCTATTTTTATTTCTTTTCTTTTCTTTTCCTTTTTTCTTTTATTTTTTTTTATTTATTGTTTTTTCTACTTTTCTGGTTTTTTTTTCTTTTTTTTCTTATTGAAAAAAAATCTTTCTTTCGTGGTTTGCCACTTCGGAGCATCCCAGAGAAAGTACTGTAAGCTACACAGTTTTATTTTGACTTTCATATTATCGCCGCTTCCTATCACTGCTTAAAAACACCTTCGGAATAGACTTGCTTAGTGGCCTCAGTTTGTGTACAGGATTTTCCACTTGGCGGTGTTATTTTGATATTCAAAGAATGATGTTTATTTTAAAGTCAAGCGAAAAATATGCCATTAATATTGGTAAAAAAATATCAGCCACGGCTAAGCTTATGAAATTTTCCATCACCAAACCACAAAGTACCTGCTATATACTCTCAATAGTTTCACGTATACCATCTTTGAGGTATTGAATCGACATTGGCCTGTTGGCCTTAGACCTTAACCTTCACGTGGTCCCAAAGTAAGAGTCCCAAAAATTTCGATGGCCAATTGCGATCACTTCTTCGAGAGATAACACGGTTCGGAAAGTTTTAACTTAAATGAACGATGGTTTCGTTGCATTGTTTGACAGGTAGTGTCGTCTTGTTCACAGTGAATGTTTTTCAGATCAATCATCCATCTCTAGATAGCGCAATACATTCGCCGTAACTGTTGCTCCAGTCTCATTTTTGAAAAAATAAGGTCTAATGACCCTGACGAACCCTAAGCTGTACCGCACAGTCAAACATTGAGGACGTAGATGCTTTTCAACAATAAATCTTGGATTTTCCGAGCCCCAGATGCGACGGTTTTGCTAACAGTCAAGTTGATTTTTCGAAAAAATCATGCATTTCAAGAACCAAATAAGCAAAGACCCGACGTTGTTAATGATCGGTCGAGTTGAGTTCTTGTGCTAACTAAACTTTGTAAGCCTTAGTACGGTGTAATGACGTTTGTGCATTTTCCAATTCCAAAGAACAGCTAGGAATGGTCAACCCTGGGTTTTCTTCAACACTTTGGGCTACAACAGTAATGTTCAGCGACGTGTAGGTGTTTTATTCTTCACATCACTAACTTGTCCCAACAGCGCCAAGGTGCTGAAAAATGTTATAGTTTTACGAACCATCACTGCCAGGTTCTCACCTTATTTTATAGTGAATTTTAATGATTTCAATGTGTTGTTGCTGCGTGTATCGTTCTTTTTTTATTATTCCCGTAGTTTTTACTTGTCAAATGTCAAAAAATTGCAAATTACTTCTACCGGAATAGCAGAATTTTCAAAATAACATTATTGGAAAACCTCTTACATTTATTGTTAGAAACTGCGGATTTTCAGTCACGTTTTCCTTCAATTTTTTTACTTTCTAATTGGATTTTTTTATTTTTTATAATAATTTTTTTTATTTTTATTTTATTTTAATTTTATTTTTTTTTATTTGTTCCTTTTTTATTTTTAATTTTTTTAATTTTTAATTTTTTTTTAATTCAAGTCCTACAAATTACATTTGTATATTTCTTAATCAACCTCCTATTATATTCAATTGCAAATAATATAAAATTTTTTTTTTTATTTATATTCTCTTATATTTCTTTATTTCTATTCACGTCTAACATATTTGTTTGCTGTAGCCATTGGTTAACCAAAAATTCCAAACCATGTAAATAAATACCTACATATATAAAAAAAAAATTTACATTTAATCTCTTCTAGTTTTGTAAATCATTAACATAAAAATCTTATTATTAAGAAGAAAAAAGAAAAGAAAAGAAAATGAGAAATTTACAATTTTTGTTTATTGAAAACACTTGGCGCTTCATTGAATAGGATAGCTTTCGCAAGGCTCTCTTGTAGTTTTGTAAGTACTTTATTTAGAACGTTTTGTTGTCCTTATAAAATTTAGCATAGAAATTATTTAGTGATAAAAGATAAAAACAAGAACACATAAAAACTTTTAGCAATATGCTAATTAATCATAATAACAATGTCGAGTGAAGAATAAATTAAACCGTCATGATGAACGAAGAACCTACTGCTGTGCTGTTGCACGATTACGTATATAAGCGTTACAATCTTGCAAAAAATCTATAAGAAACGACTTTAAATTTCTTAGTTGTAAAAGTTCATATATTTGCATTGAAAACGTATAAAAATATATACAGATCAAATCATACAGTATACTATATACTGTCTAACACTAGTGCATATAATTGGAAACTATAATGAATGATTTTGTAACTAATCACATTTTTGCATTTTCCTTTATGCAGAAAAAACGCGATAAGAAGAAGAAAAAAGAACGCAACGGCTCCGTGGAAAAGTCGCGCTCGAGGTAAGCAACTAATTTCGCACATAAATACATGCATATGTGTGTGTACATATGAAATAACGGTTTTTACGGTTTTTTTTTATTTGCAGATCCCATGAACGCTCTGCTAGAGCTGACCGCAAACGTTCTGAGGAGAGATCAGCCAGGCGAGATGATCGCAGTAATGCGAGACATCAATCTAAATCTTCAACAAGAAATCCATTTGAACGCAAATCTCCAGAAAGAAATGTCCGAAATGACCGTCGGCGTTCGGAGGAAAGATCAATGAAACGTAGCGATCATGCGTCGCCACGTAACGCATCCAAATCATCGACCAATAATCCTTTTCGCAGTCGTTCTCGTGAACGTCGATCACCACAAAAATCACAACGCCACAATTCTTTGGCGAAAAGTTGCAGCCGGGAACATTCCAGAGAACGACAGCGTGATCAGGAGCGTCGCAAACGTCGTGATCGTGATGATCACTCAAGTGAACGTCGTAAAGCAGTATCTGTGGAACGTAATTCTCGTCATGGCAAGCGAGAAACTTCACGTTCAGTATCACGTGATAGGCATCGTCAAGCACACTCCAGCGCTCGTCACGAAAATGCGTCAAATATTTCACGTCACCCCCGTACACGTTCGCGCTCACGTTCTAAATCTGTACACCGTAACAATCGCAAGCGTTCGCCTTCCGCTAACAAAGTTGAGAAATTCCGCAAACGTACTATTACACCTACAGTGCCACCATCAAAGAGCGCCGCTGCTTCTGTTTCACCAACGCGTTCTGATTCTAGCGCTAGAAAGAATCCATTTAATCCATTCAAAGTTGATGTACCAACACTTGGTGGCGCTCTTGCATCTATTGGTGGTGATGCGCGTCCTATCTCCAATCCATTTAAGAATGTTGCTGATCCCATAAAGATGCCAAAAATGCCGAGCCGCACCCGATCTCCTTCTGCGGCAAGCAGTGGTGTCAATCGAATTGGCAAAGACAGCTCGCATTCAAAGAAAGACTCCTTGCGCATTAGTCGTGCTAGATCACCTCTTCGTGCGTCATCAGTACACTCAACGCATTCGAGTAAAGACGCGCGTGTATCGAAAGGAGAAAGACAATTCATTAGAGAACGTTCGCGTGAACGCAGAAACTCGCCTGATGGGCGACGCTCTCCACCACGAGCGGAGCGTGAAGTTAAAAAGGAAAAAGAAGACTCACGTGAACGTGAAGTCAAAAAGGGTAGGGAACAATCACGTGAGCGCGAGTTAAAAAGGGAGCGTGAAAGTTCACATGAGCACATAGTTAAAAAGGAAAGAGAGCGTTCACGTGGACGTAGAAATTCAGGGTCGCGCCAACAACGATCAAAGTCGCGTACTTTCCAAGAATCTAAGCGACGCCAACGTTCAGGTAGTCGTGAAAAATCGCCTTTATCCCGGCGATCCGCATCGCGCACTGATCGCAATGTTGAAAAACGTGGAAAAAGTTCTCGTGATCTTCGTAGGTCGTCTGATGAAAGTTCTGCACAGCAACGCTCTGGACGTGAATTGAAAGAGAGAGAGCGATCGCGTGAAGAGCGCAGCGAGCATCGAAGATCTGAAGAGCGTCGTGTGCGTCAATCGCCTAAAAAAATGTCACCACCACGACGCCGTCGTCGTTCAAGGTCACACTCTTCTTTAAAACTCACAGCAAGTAGAGTCACTTCTTCACCATCACGTGCTAAATCACGTTCACCACATGAAAAAAATAAGAAAGGTATGAATTATCCAAGCTCCAATCGGCGTACAGAAACGGAAACGGCTACTAAACGTCGCTCACAATCGCGTGATTCCTCGGAGTTAAGTTACTCCCCGGCACGTCGTAATCCTGAGCGTTATCGCGAGATACTCGAAGCTGCAGATAAAGGTAAAACAAAAGAGCACGAAACTAAGAAACGCAACGATGATACCGAACAATCTTCGCACGATACACGAAAAGTGCGTAAAATGCAAGAAGAGTATTCTGCTAATGAGCGTGATGATCGCGGGCGCAGTGGCCAAATCAGAGAGCACACAAATAGCGATAGCAGTCGAGTACGAGTTGAACAAGGTGCTAATCGCGATCGGGAACGTGGTCGTGAGCCACGTGAACGCAATATTGATTGCAATGAACGACCTCGCAGCAAAGAAAAGCGCAGTAAAGAACATAAACGCGAACGCGAGACACGCGATTCGTCAAGCACCAAACGCATCAAGCTTATGTCGGGTCCAGTGGTGCGTTTGCAAGGTCAGAGCGAAGACGAAAACGATGCAGATGAACGTCCAGAGAAAATAGCTGCATCGCTCGATGAATTCCAAGAAACCAAGCGGGGACGAGAACTGAAGGACATGGAAATGTTAGAGCAGCTGAAAACGGATATAGCTGCAAAAGCAAAAGAAAAATTAAAGACGATTGAGAAATTGGCCGTCGGCGGAGGAAATCTTGGTAATGAAGTAAGTGAAAGAAACAGCAATGAACAGCAGCGCTACAGGCGCGGCGGTATGAGAAATTCGTTGAACGAGTTTCTTGCAGCCAACAATGTAGCGGCCGCAGTCGTAGCAATAGCTTCGTGTTCTAACAGAAATAACAGTAATAATAGTAACCATTTAAATAATAATAACAACAATAGTAGCAATAATAATACTAACAATAGCAATACCGTTAGAAAAATAGCAAGGGAGAATGAGGGCAGTGGCAATACGACGCCACCAATGGCTGCGATTTATCCCCAACCATTGGAAGAGCAGTTGGAAAACGATAATCAAGAAAAAACCGAAACTGTAGATAATTTAAAAAAAGAAAAAGAGAAAGATAAAGATAGAGATAGAGATAGAGAAAACGAAAACGAAAACGAAAAGGGAAGCGAAAAAGACAAAGACAAAGACAAGGCTAAAACAGAAATGCAAGAACAAAGAAAGGACAATACGCCGCAGGTTAATTGCAATAAGGCCCAAGTTGCCGCAAATGGCCACGCGGCACGGAGTCCTATATTACCAATGCGTGAAAATCCGCATTCAAACATAAGAAATGCACCAAATACTATGAATCGTCAACAAATGTCTTTTCGTCGCGGCACACGTCGTAATACACCGCCACCACTAATTCTGCATCCGCGTAAATCGCATCACAGGGTAAAGATAAATACACCAAGCGGTGGTGTTGCACTTATTAACGCACCCATTACAACCGGTGGTGGTCCCTCAACGAATTATTCGCATTATGGCGGCGGTGGAGGCCCAAACAATCTCGCCTCCGCTGCCGGTGCTTATGCGCGTCAATTGTCGGGTCGTATTAACCATCATCATCATCACAATAATCCGCCTCTAATAGCGCACGCTCCACACGGTTTTAATCCGCTAATAAGTAAACACTACAACAGCGGTTTGAACAACTTGAATAATAACACAATGCTAATTAGTCGTCGCGAACATCACCACCGCTGTGCGATGGGTTTAAATGCTAACCTAAATGCTCAACTCACCTCAAATAATTTCCCTAACAACAGCTTATTACTAACACCAAATAGCAACCATCACGCTCACCATCATCATTCGCACCAACATCAGCATGGCTCCAATGCCACAGTTATAAGTGATCAAATGCTGATCGCGGCCTCATTGGCCGCTGTGACGGGCAGTGGTGCCGGTGGTGTTGGTGGTGCTAGCGTCGGTGGTGGTGGTCATCACCATGCACGCAGTCACCACCTAGAGTTGGGTATGGGCTCCGGCCATCATCATGGTTATAATACGGCGGCAGCAGCCGCTGCTGCTGCATCTAGTTTAAGTTATCATCACCACCATCATCACCACCAACATTCGAATAAACCGAAAATTATAATAAAGCCTTTTAAAATTCACGATCCACAGCCATTGGTAGCGGCACTAGCCGACAGTACACTCGTCGATGCGATCGTCTCCAAAGTATCTACAGCTACAGTAGCGGCAGCAGAGAGCGCTACACGTCGCAGTCGCAGCCGTTCAAGACGGAGTCGCAGTCGCAGTCGTAGTCGGCCACGACGTGATGGCGGTGGCGCTGGCGGCGGCGGAGGGGGAACAGGAGCAGCAAGTGGAAATGGAGGAACAAAGAGTCGGCGTTCTACAAGCCGATCGCGTTCAACGTGAGTTCACGCACAAAAAAAAGAATTTTTTATTATGAAAATATTAATTTTCTCATATTTTTTTTTTTTTAATAGGCATTACTCTTCGTCGAGCAGCCGCAGCCGCAGTCGTTCGCGTAGTCATAGCCACCGTACTTCACGTTCTCGCTCACACTCACATTCATCGCATTCGAGCTGTTCGACACGAAGTAGTTCACGGAGCTCATCAAGGTATGGAATTTGGATTTTTTTCATCAAAGAAATTGGCTGCAATCCAAATATTTTAGTTTTGTTTATATATTTTGTTTTCACAATGAATTTCTTTATAATTTGGCTAAAACATCTCCTTACCAAATATCTATTTGCAGCTCTGGCAGTTCTGGTTCCTCCCGTACCGGCTCGCGTTCACCATCAATTCCGCGAAGGCGTGGATCTCCCAGCTTTTTAGACCGCCGTCGCATAACAAGGTGCTTATAATCAAAATTTGTCACTTGATTTACCTTCCCTTTCCAGACTACCGTTTCAATTTAGTTGTTTATTTATCACATTATTTTTTTTATGTATTTTTGAAACTTTGTTTTATTTATTTTTATATAATTTGTTAATATTTTTCTTATTTTCATTTGTAGCAGAGGACGTGAACCACCTCGCGAACGCCGTAGGCGTTAGGCTTGGCCGCATGTTTCTTTACATGCACATACTATATAAAAATAAACATAATATATAATTTAACATTTGAATTATGTATTCTTTTACTTTCTTTTTTTTTATAGCTTAGTAAAGAATCATTTCAATTATTGTTTAGATATTAATTTGCCAGAATGAGTTTTGCCGCATTGATTTGTATAAGAATGGATGATAGAGAAAGTTGAAAAGGGATATTGGAAATTTGCAACCTCATCGAACCTACTTTCCTACTGCACGATTACTTTAAGTTATACTAGTACTTAGTTTACTATTTTCTTTTTTTTAATACATTTTGTATGTACGTTTGTACATACGCTTCATGTTCTTGCTTGTGTTTTTTCTTTGCAATAAATTTACTTATGCTAATTCTAAATAAAGAAAATTTGTAATTGCAATATGTAAACGCTATAATTTATTTATAAATTACGCCTTTGTTATTAATGTAACTTTTAAGTTGACAAACATTAGTTTATGTTTTTTTTTAGCATCTTTGGTAAGTTGTTTTATAGCAAATGGGTTTCCTTCATTTTTACATGTGTATTTAAATTTGATTCATTCTTATGTTTTCTTTAGATAATTGAGCTTAAAAGTCCTAATTTTACATTTGCTTTTGGTAAGTTTATTTTCATTCCTTTTTATTTTGTCCTACAAACGTTTATTTTTTGACATAATTAGCTAATTCTCTAACTTTTCAATTCTCCTAGTGCACGCAAACGTCCAATACCTTATCATCGCAAGACACCCTCAGATGCTTCCAGCTATTGTTCAAGCTGCTACAGTCGCGAGAGTTCGCCGCATTCGCCATCACGTTCACCAACACGCAGCAGTCGCAGTCCATCTACGGCATTTTGAGGTTTAAAGAAGAAACTTATTAAAGTTTTACAAAATATCACATAAGAAGAAATTTAAAAATCGTACGGAATCCAGTGAAATCTTCAACTGCAATGGAAGTCACAATAATATGGCGTAGGGAGGCTGATAAAAGTAGAAAATAGTGCAAGCTCTAAGCATGAGTATTATTTCTAGTCCTATGCAAGCATTCTAGTCGTTGTTTTTATTTTTATTATTATTATTATTTTTTTTTTTGATTAGCGCATTTACATTTACATTAGAAAATAAGAACACTGCTAGTCAAGTATTACATATGACGTGTAATGCGTTTTGTTATTTCGTAGATATTAATCGTTTTTTATTTGGTCATATTTGAAGTGCTAACGGCATTACTATTCATTGAAATTCCTTTAGTTAATGAAACATACATAAATACATATATACTCAATTTAGTTGTAACAAATGTGTAAGATTAAATTAAATTTAGTCCATAAGTATAATCTAATGTAAATTATTTAAGAAAAAAGACACCATGTAATATTAAACGAAAATACATAGATATTTGTTGCAAAATAAAAAAAAACTCAAACTTTCCAACGTATCGCGATGACCAAGCCGAACCACAAGCCAGTCACATCAGAAAGGGAGTAATTGACCTAAAATACTGCATTCAAAACCACCGCTGGAGTCCATCAAAACCTTCATAAACACTTTCCTGTGAGGCAAACCCCCCACCTAGTACAGATGAAGAGCTGCTGCTGCTCAAACAACTAGGACCAGAGGGAGCAGAATTTCTCACAAAGGTCCTCAATCTGTCTTTGACCAACCTAACGATACCTCCTGTGTGGAAATTGGGCAGAGTGGTCCCGCTACTCAAACCGGGGAAACCAGCCAACAAGGGAGAGTCCTCTCCCCAGTAGCGAAGACAATTGAGGCCTTGCTGCTCCCGAGCTTTACTCACCATCTGCGTCCAGCAGCACATCAGCATGACTTCCGAAAAGTGTACAGCTCCACAACAGCACAAAACGCCATAAGCACCCAGATAGTCAATGGCCTTAACCAAAACCGACCCTGCGCGCGAACTGTCCTGGTAGCATTGGACTTGCCAATCATTCAGTGCTACTAACGGACATTGAGGAATCCTCATTACCGCCGGAGTTGCAGAGATGGGTCATGGGCTATCTGAGTGGTCGACAATCATCGGTAATATTCCGCGGTGAAACATCGAAACCCAGAAAAATTAAACAGGGGGTTCCGTAGGATGGTGAACTCTCCCCGCTCCTGTTTAATTTTTATATTTCGAAACTCCCTCCTCCACCAAAAGGAGTTTCTCTAACCTCGTATGCCGACGATTGTACAATAAATGCGTCAGGATAATGATTTTTCTCACTTCTTCACTGCATGACAATTAAAAATACAGCCGACTAAATCCTCGGCTACCCTCTTCACCAGCTGGACGAATTAATAGAGACTTGAACTAGACGTAAAGGTCGATGACACAAAAATTCCTACTGTAAATAACCTAAAGATATTGGGAGTGACACTAGACAGCCTGCACTCTGCATACGACCGCAATTGCCGCAAAACTCCAGACCCGCAATAAAATACTCAAAGCGCTAGCCGGCAGCCTTGGGGTAAAGTCAAAGAAACTTTGCTGGGATTGGTAAAACGCTAAAACATGAACTCATTTTCTCAATTTCGAGAATACTGAAGCGGTAGCCGTTTTTTTTATCGAGTTGTTGATTATTTACAGGACCAACATTTTATGTCCAAGCGTAAGCTATTTTTATTTTATCATCACATCAGAGAACTCAACATGGCTGTAGGGTAAATTAACAACTACTCGAAGTCAAAACTGACGAGAACCGATTATCTGACCACTAATCATACCTCGTCCGACCTTAGCTTACTTTTCACACTGTACCCTTCTGGAGACAGCTCCAAAAGGAAAGGGGGCCGCTGTCTCTGAGTTTACAAGCGCGACTGTGTGGTTGTTGTTATAACCGCAAAATATTCCGCGAATTGGTTTTGGGGAACATTATCGAAATGATAAAAATCCGGTTCGTTCCGGTTAAAAGACCTGACTGTGGCAGGAACTATTGGATTTAGTCGCCTCTTAAGACAGGCATGCCTTAACACGGATAAATTCATGAGCCTCTAACCAGCAGGGGATACAAGCGCGACTGTAGATTTCTTCAATGAAGGAAAAGCTGCCGACTCCAAATCATCGCACCGACAAGAATAACCAACCCTGGGAAACCGTCTTCAATGGAAAGCCTTATCGTATGATATTTCTCCTTGTTGCTTCCGTGATTTAATCACACTCTGTCAAGTTTTTACTCTCACAAGTTCAGCAGTTCAATTTATTACCTCACCTAGTGAAAAGTTCTTGTGTTAGCTGAGTAATCTCTTGCATCTATATCCGAAACTACTTTTTTTTCTCAAAATTACTGGATGTTACATTTCTCTTTGTTATTATTATTATTGTTTTTTTTATAATTCGCACAGAACGAAAGAAGCCTAAATTTTGGAGAGGAAAGATTTTATAGAAACTCCTTTCTGCGGCTGTACTTTATGAAAAATGTGGCAACTATTCAAAGAAAAATGAAGTCTGGTATCACTTAAAAGCAACTCTGAATTTGATTTCTTCCAAGCAGAAAAAAATCTCAATAAATAACTGCGTTTGAAAAGCAAATCAGTTACGCGCCTGAATTTGCTTATATACTTGTAATGAGTGCGAATTGATTATATTATAATTGTAAGGGCAAAGAAATTTCATCATTTTGAAAATGGCAAATATCTGGCATGATAAACGTACATTTGTGGATGAAAACAAATTTGCATCAGCAAAACTTCAGCAAACGCATCCAAGAGTGTATTCGGTAAAAAAGAAGCAAGTTTTTGGTGAACTGAAGAATGTTATGCACAATCAAGTTGGCATTACTCCTTTGAAGTTTGGTTTAAAAGAAAACCATTTGGAAGCATATAAGGGGGCTAAATGTAATGATGGAGGTGTATCAAGTAAGATATGCCCCTCAAAAGTTGAAAATAAAAGGAATGTTATAGATCCTGTTGAGCTCTTTGATTTATTTGATTTCCCAAAATCGTGTTGTACCAAGAGCTGCAGTAAGAGCCTCGAGGAAATATGGGCCGAATACAATGCTTTTGACGAAATTGCTCTTTTTAAAGTAATGGAGAAAATTCGAAGCGGTGGCGCCATGAAAGATAGAGATGAGGAGGAACAGATTAGCGATGTTGAGGATTTCTACGAGTCTGAAGATGAATTAGATGTGCAAATAAAAAATGGAAAACCTTATTTGTATTTGGAAGATCATGGTAATGACGATTTCTCGACATGTGCTGCCGAGCTTCCGAAGTTTGATTTCGGCCATGACCTACTTTTGAAATGTTAATTTGATGAAAATTATACATATGTTTAACTTCGTTATTCCTAATAACAACATATATTTCAAATGAATTTTCTTGTTCAGCTATTATTCACGTAGTTTTTAATAATAATATGTATTATTTGTAGTGCTGCAAATAAATTGGAAGTTGGTAAAAAAAGATACATATTTTTTTATCGTCCGTACATACAACATACAAGCATTAAAGCATGCATGTTCCAACGACGTAATGTTCAACCGTTTGAGAACCGTGGAAAACAAAAATGACGCCTGTTCTGTTAAGGTCGTGTAATATTTTTGGAACGTCTACATAAAAATAAAACCAGTGTATGTATAAATAAAATATCTTTATTATGAGTTGAAAATTGTATGCTAAAATAGATAAAAATTATTTTTTATTTGTTTTTAATTAAACATGTATACTAAATACCCTAATGCTTGCTGTGCTAGATTTTGTTGCACTGCGAAGAAATTATACTATTAATTATTGAATAGCAAAAAAGTATTACATTTTAGCTATCATTACTATTTTATTTCAGAGCAATAGATATAACACCGAAAATACAACCAAGTTTATACAACTATTTTGTGTTTAATTAAACTATATAAAAAAAGTTGCATTAGATTTGACACTAAATTGAGGGCTAATCATACAAATTTGCAATTCTAGCTACCGATTTCTAATAACTTTCTCTTTATTATTATTTGGTTTTGTTTTGAGCGTAATCGAAATTATTATTTACAATACATATACCAATTTAATTTTTTTTCGCCTAGTTGGATTCTTCATTTATTAGTTTGTTGAATACATATTGTAAACTGTGTTTGTGAGTTTATTTTCACCAACACCCACAATCAACTAATAGTGAGAAGGTAATTTGTTATCAGATAAATTTTTAGTTTATATTGATTAGATAGAACATTTATTCAAAAGCTACATTTTAAAAATTTTACATTTGTAATACGCGGTGGTGATGTTTACAAATGCAAATAGCAACAAAACATGCAAATGATTTAATAGATAAACGTTTTCGAACATCTTAAAATATAATCCCCTTACAACCAGGCATATCTATTACGGCTTTTTTTGTTTTGTAGACTTTTAAGTTTGTTTTAATTGAATATTTTGAGCGCTAAACACTGCGACATCATAAAATCAATAAAAAAAAAATTATTTAAATATATTTGTTAACTGCGGTCGTTATATAACGAAATAGTGTAGTAAACACGCTAGCAACTACAATTATATTAATGCTTAGTTTACTACACGCACAATGTCGCAGCAGCAATTTATGCAGTAGCTACATTAACCATTCTCACACTGGTGTCCTTCACAATTTCCCCAAAATATACAATTTCCCACACCGCTATAACATATGAGGAACACAGCTGTCAGAAATATCAAACTGCAAATGGTGCACGGCTTTCGTTCTAAAAAGAAGCCAATTAGATACAGTACAATGAACATAACATGCGTCTCCATTAGCGCCGGATTTGTTGGTTTCGGTATAAGCAGCACTGGTAGCAGACATTGTAGACAATACATGTTGATAACAGTCTCGAGAGTATCCTGATTATAACTGAAAAATGAGCGGAAAATTAAATAAAACACTTAAGGTACTTTGATAAATAAATTCACTTATTACTCACCCAAGCCACAAGCACCTTTAGAAAAGCACCAATAATAGCCAATAACAACTGACTATTGTCTTGGCCTTCTCGCCTACTACGTTTCTAAATTTGGTACCAAATACCAAAGTGTATTCAGATATTTCAGTTCACCGAGGATTCACTGTGCTGACTATGCATTGTTTGTTGATTAAACACCTTTCACGTTAACTTGTTTTGCATTTATTTTTATTTTTCACAACTTTATTTTATGCACTGTGATTGGAACAATTAGGGCTGTCAATGGATACGGTGTTAAAAAAAAAACAAAACGTCAACTTGATGTGTCAAAATTTCTACAAAATTTTTTTATTCAATCAGGGCTGCAATTGATATGCATCAAAGAACGTTCGACTTTTTTTACCCTTTCTTAATTATTAAAAGTTAATTTGAGCAGTTATTTCTCATATAACTCGAATGCTAAAATAATTTTCTTTATATGGTTTTTTAAGCAATAAACCTTTCGGAATCATATAATAGATGAAAAGTTAAAAGAATAAAAAAAATAATTAAATAATCGCAATGCAACCCTAAACCAAAATAATTGGACTTGACTCCAATCAGAACTGCCCTAAATTCAGATAAGACTGTAACGATTGATAACTACATGAACCAGTTAATTGTGGTAAGAGAAGTTGTAGTGAAATCAACTATTCATTTATTTAAATTTTATGTTTTGCACTGTGCAGCGTTGTTTATAGAAAAATATATAATTTTAGTAAGACAAGAAAAGAAAGTAGAAACCTATGCTGCAATGATTGCCGGCCTTTGTTCTTTGAACCTTTAAGAACACTCAACGGGTTTGGCTCTAAAATAATTTTAACAAAATTAACTTTTACTTTATTTGTTGTATGTACTTGATTCAGCAACGCTGCTCAAATTCTTGCCAAATAATACACTGAATTTTATTGGAAAGAGAATAAAAAGGAAATAAAATGTCACTATCGAAGCCTTTTTATTCGCTTCTGGGTGTTTACTTGGAGCAGCTCTTCAATCATCCAGTGCGTACAAAATCCATAACAAGGTAAGTATTTATATATTGTAATTTCGTAGCATACGTATTTCCATATAAATTGCATTATAAAATTTGAAAATCACTAACACCTGTTAAAAATGTACATATGTATGTATGTATACATAGCTCCGTACTGGCTGCATCTGCTAATTACACAGCCCAACGCATTGCTGGTCAGAAGAAACTGAATCAGGATAGTGTCATTGCTTATGGACTCTTTGGGTAAGTCACTTTAGTGATTTCTCTCATATAGTATGTGTGAAAAAAACAATTACCTACTTGTGTGTTTCCAAATAAATAACTCCAATCTTATCTCCGAAAACAGCGTTTGCTTTAAGTAATCTTGATAAAACATTACTTAATCCCCAATACGCATATTTATATATAAAAATATGTGTTACTTTTCATAGAAAACTAAAGATAAATTATATTTTTCAGATTAATATTTGGTGGAACTGTGCCGCATTACTTTTATCAAACGGTTGAACGCCTATTTAAACATGATATGAAATTCCGTCGTTTCTACCAATTCTTATCGGAGCGTTTAATATTTGCACCATTCTATCAATTGCTCTCACTCTACTTCCTCTCCATATTCGAGGTAACATTTACATATATAAAAAAAAAAATATATATATATATATTCGAAATTTTCCTATTAATTGCGTATAGATGAATACACATGAGGTGGCTGTTGCTAATTTAAAGAAGCTTTATTGGCCACTTCTCCGCACAAATTGGCAGTATTTATCGATACCAGTGTTCCTCAATATGAGATTTGTACCACCCATGGTATGACTTTATTAATTTCCACATTGCATATTTTGAATAAAAACATATTTCACAAAAAATATTTTCAGCTGCGGACAGTTACAATGAGCATCGTGTCCTTCATATGGGTGGTTTACATTGCTCGTCGACGCCGGCATCTTCAGGACAAACAAGCTGGTGGTGCTGATAATTGAGATGATTACTCTATATTTTTAATTATGTACATATGTACATGCATTTGAGTGTATCAAAAGTAATAATTTTTTACAAGCATGTTTAGATATTAAAAAAAAAAACAACAACAACATAATAATCTAGAGGGTTCTTTAGGTGCCTTAATTCGTGATTTTTAAATTAATAAAATTACTATATCTGTGGTGAAAGTAAACTGTAAGTCGAGACAATAAATTAGTGTAAACCATTTTTGCATTTATAGTTAAATTCATACATATATAAATAAAAACTCAAAAACAAATAAAAACAACCAATTATATTCTGAATTTGGTATCCCTACAAAACTTATGCGGTTGTGTAAACTGACGCTAGACAACACCAGAAGCGCAGTCAGAATTGGGAAGGTCCTCTTCGAGCCACTCTCCAACGCGCAGTCTGTCAGCCATAAAAAATCGTTAATCATCTCTCCATAGCGCAATAATTCGTTTCTTCTTTTTGCTGTTCGGCGCCAATTGGAAATACAAAGTACAGTCAGGTCATTCTCTACCTGGTCTATCCAACTCTTCCTCTGCTTCCACCGACGGGTACTGTATCGAAAACTTTCACAGCTGGAGTATTCGCGTAGCCGCTGCTTCTTGATTCGCTGAACTACATCAATGTCGCCGTATAACTCGTACAGCCCATCGTTCCATCGCCTGTGGTATTCGCCGTTGCCAAAGCGAATAAATCTTACGCAAAACCTTTCTCTCTAAAACTCCTAACGCCGTCTCATCAGATGCTGTCATCGTTTATGCCTCCGCACTATATAGCAGGTAGGGAACGATGAAGGACTTTTAGAGTTTGGTTTTCGTTCGTCGGGAAAAGACTTTACTTTTCGATTCCCTACTCATTCCATAGTAGCACCTGTTGGCAAGAGTGATTCTACGCTGGATTTCACGAGATATTTCGTCTTGACCTCGTTCACTACCAGACCCATTCGCCTCGCTTCTTTATCAAGTAGAACTAGCTTCGCGGTTGATGACGTCGATAAGGCAATGTCATCGGCGTACGCCAGTAATTGTACACTCTTATAGAAGATTGTACCTTCTCTATTCAGCTGTGCAGCTCTTATTACTCTTCCCAGCATCAAATTGAAGAAATCGCACGATAAAGAGTCACCCTTTCTGAAACCTCGTTTGGTACCGAACGGGACGGAGAGGTCCTACCCAATTCTGACTGCGCTTCTGGTGTTTTCTAACGTCAGCTTACATAGCCGTATAAGTTTTGCGGGGATACCAAATTCAGACACAGCAGCTCCTTTTCATGCTGTCGAAGACGGACTTTAAAATCCCCGAAGCGTTGGTGGCTGTCGATACTCTTTTCACGGGTCTTTTCCAAGATTTGTTGAAGGTGTATATCTGGTCATTGGTTGACTTACCAGGTCTGAAGCCATACTGATGAGGTCCAATCTGTTTGTTGACGGTGGGCTTCAGTCTTTCACACAATACGCCTGACAGGACCTTAAAGGCGATATTAAGGAGGCTTATACCACGGTAATTGGCGCAGGCTGTAGGGTCAGGTTTTTATGGATTGGGAAGAGCATAATTAAATTCCAATCGTCGGACATGCTTTCGTCCGACCATATTCTGCAAATTAGCTGATGCATGCACCTTGTCAGCTCTTTACCTCCAAGTTTAAATAGTTCTGCCGGTAGGCCGTTAGCTCTAGCTGTTTTGGTGTTTTATAAGCGGGCAATTGCTATTCGAGTTTCTTCATGGTCAGGTAATGGTACGTATTTTCCATTGTCATCGATTGGGGTTTCGGGTTCGAGGAGACTTCTATAGCGTGAAAAGGACCGCCACGTCGCAATTACTTAGTTTGGTCTCCTCACAACACTTAAAAGACTACGTGAACTGACGCTGCCTACCATCCGTACGAGCGCTGGTGAAAGCAGAAACAGACAGATCTTCACTTCGGTGGTTTAGAGATGAAATTACAAGGTCACGGACTCAAGGCAAATATTTCCACATCGTATTGCGCAACTATTGTACAATGCAAAGCGGTCGCCAAGTACGAATTGCTCCCGCTCGAAAGTAGAATCCCAGATGTGAATCGAGTCCGTGGTATGGAGTTTGTAACCCCTTGAAACTTCAAAAAATTCATTTTTTTTGATATTTTTTTTTATAAAAGTACAAGGTGTCGGGAATATTTTCCCCAAGTTTCAAGACGATCGAGACAAAACTGTAGAAATTAGAGTGTTTTATAACCCGCCATCTTTGTCATGGCCTGACCGTTGGCGAAACTTTAAACGCGTTTTTCTTAAAACCACTTTATCGGTAGTCAAAATTTCTCAACGACTATTGAAGCGTTTTTATTTGTTTTTTATAGAATTCATTTATTTACTGGATCTGCTATAATATAAGCTTAACAGTAAATGTACAAATCTTAAAAATCAAATTACAAACAAACAAGATAGCTCGAGTTATTTTACTCTGTGCCATTTTCAAACTACGGCGCTCTCCTTAGAGGGCGGGAACATCTCTTCGCTGCAGGCGGGAATTCCTCGATGGGTTGCATAAAGCATTAGCTAGCGGATTTGGATGATTTCTTAGCTTTGTGAAGTACTTCGTCCTGCTTCTTTCAACTTCAGGCTTAACCAATAAAATACCAAGGTCTTGATGAACGTACCATGGTGCGCCCGTTAGTGTTCTTAAAATTTTGGACTGGAACCTCTGTATTTAATCGATATTAGTTGCACAGGTCGTACCCCACAAATGATTACCATACATCCAAATTGGTTTTAATACTGCGCTGTAAATAAGGACTTTGTAGTTTAGTTTTAGTGCTCGAGTTCAAATTTTCCACACTTCTTTTAAGCATGTTTTTGGAGTCCCTGAACGAAGGATTTGTTTTATCTTTGAGCTCAACTCTTTTTCCAAGCCAATATGTGGCCTAATTTTATGCAAAAAATGACGTTTTTAGTTTTTTTTTTAATTTTTATTCGTTCAGGGCCAAGGGAAAAGAAAAAAATTTGAATTTTTGATTTCAGAAAAAAATTGAAAAAGTTATCATGACTACCGCAAAAGCACTTTCCCGTGGACGATCTACTTCACGACACTGCCAACGCCTTAACTTATGCTATTTTTCATTCAAATTTACAACAAATATTGTCCACATATTGTTTTACTATATGTAAATAAAATAAATTGTCTACTTTATTTAGTATCTTTTAAAAAAATTAGAGAAAATAAGCTTTTTTTGGCCTCAAGACCTATGTAACCCCTCAAGCTCGAAAGATTACCACTACCGTAGAGGCCCCATAAATAAAATAACTCGTTTTAAAAATAGTTAATTTATTTACAAATTTCTCCATTTCATTTCATAAAATGTTTATCAAATGTCTAATTTTAAAATAATTAAAACAATAAAGTAATAAAAGGCGGCTGACACATTATTACAGATTGAAAGTAACATAAAATGCGGCTTCTTTTATATTTAAACAATACAATACATATGTACAGTTATATTTATATATATTTATATAAAGTACATGAAGCTGATGGAATACGTGTTACGTATTAAACCATACAAATATATAAGATCAAATCAGTAATGATAAAATAGAATTGGAAAATAGTATAAAATACAAGTAAATAGAACCAAAGATGTTAAATTTTTTATTTCCTTCTGTGAAAAGTTTCCGTCTCTATCCCAATTGAATCGATTTTCTTAAAGTTTCAGAGGTGGTGAACCTAAGCATGAGCCCTCATATTGTTGTTGTAGTTGTGCAGAAAAGAAACGAGTATGTATGTATTTAACAGTTTTTGGCGTTTAGCTACTTCCGGCTGCACAGGCGTGACGATGCGTATATGTACATACTCAGAATTCAAAGTGTGGGATTGGCACTTTTAACTTGCATAACATCGACCGAAAGCAGCAGCAATCACAGGCTGAATAAACGGATTAAACGGATCGTGGCTGAACAACTGTTATATGGATAGAGTAGAAGCAGAGCAGTAGCATTAATATAAATTTATTTGGATTTGAAATTTTCTAAATATATAACTTACAGTGCGGCCTTTCCGATTCGATGGATGCGCCCATCTCGCCCTCATTGTGCGATTGTAGGATTGGTACTGGAATGCGGACCGGCTGTGCCAGGCTGCGTCCGAAGTTGGCGCGTCCGTATTGCATCATTTGTGGCTGATCGGGCATGGGTGGTGTCATGGTGTCACGTGGCTGCTCCGGCAGAGGTTGCAGTATCAGTCGCTGTGGTGGCGCTTGTCCCATGCGCATTGCCTCCTCTGGAGCAATGGCTGGCTGTTGTGGTTGCGCTAGCTGGGGAAGTTGTTGCATTTGTTTTTGCTGCTGTTGTTGCTGTTGTTGCTGTTGCTGTTGTAATTGTTGTTGACGCACAATGTGTTCCTGTTCGTTGGACATTTGCACATCAGCCGATGAGTCGTTCGCCTCTTCGCTATCTAAGTTACTGTTGTTGCTGTTATTGTTGTTGCTTTCAGCTGACTCAGCCGCCTCCTCGGCAGCAAGACGACGCAACTCATCGGTAATGCGATCTTCAGCCATACGTTGGATGTTACGCAAATCCTCAGCAGTTATACCGGCACGCTGGAGAGCGACACCAAGTGGCAAGCGCTGAATTTGCAAATGTGGCAATTCTTGTTGTTGAGATGGGATTTGCACTGGCATATCATCGGCCATATGAATTTCACGAATGGGAATCTGTTGCACATGAATGCGTACAGTTTGTGGCACATACATATTTTGTTGCGATTGTTGGGAGTCAGGGTGTGGTGCTTGCATCACTTGTGGTGGCATTGGTGGACGCATGGGCAGTTGTTGGAATGGTGGTGGCATTTGACGAATAAATGCCTGTTGGGGTTGTGATTGCGCCTCCTGGGACATAGCGGACATGGCGGACATTGGTGACATTGGTGGCATTGGTGGCATCATACGTTGTGGCATGTGTGTTAGTGGGAAACGTTGTGGAATTTGACCGAATGGAATGGGTATGCGTTGGTATGGAATGAACATGGGACGATTCGATTCGATCTCCTCATCATTATCATCATCCTCTTCGCGATTGTTGTTGTTGCGTGACGATTCACCATTTTCTTGTTCTTTATTTTCATTGCCACCTTCACAGTAGATCGAGATGCGTTCACCGGTGATACGTGCCTTCTTGGGATCGGTGGTGAGATTGACGCCAAAAGGTAAAGCCACAGTCTTAGAGGGTGAATCGACGATTTCCTCAGCATGTTTACGCTCCACAACACAGTTCATGCGCGACCTGGTGAGGTAAACATACATAAGTGAATGCTCCAAGGTGAAATGCAAAAAAATATGTTTATATGTACTTACTTCTTGTTGTTTTGCAACAAAGCTGCGGCCAAGTCGCTCAAGTCCAATTCAAGTGGCACCTTACCAGGATATTTGATTTCTTCGGCATCATCAACGTCCGAATACGAGTTGTCACTATCGTTGGAGTCACTATCAACCGACGCAGTGGCGGAGACTTGTTTGGGCTTGGCGGCTTGTTGTTTTTTAATCTCTACCTTCTTCACCGTGACGTCCTTGTCTAGGTTCTGCAGATCAGCATCGTCGTTATTCTCTCTGCCCAAAAGTGCCTCGGCACGTGGAAGTTCCTGGAAAAAAAAGAAATTAATTCAAAATTAAAAATTTGGGCGAAGGCAAAAAATATGAATATAAAACATTTAAATAATGAAAAAAATTATCAGATGCACAACTTTGCTTCCGCCGTTTTCCGATAGGTGGCTCTACCGGCTGAGGCTGGTTGAAATACATAGATGAAATGCCTTTAAAGTGACTGTGGACATGCCTAACGAATTGTCATCGCCGTTTCAGTGACAGTTGTTCTTGTTTTCGTATTATTCGCTCGAAAATGTCCGTTTATATGCCTAATTCTCGCCATTTGCGAGAAGTTTCACTTTTCTGTTACAATTCGAAAAAAAAATGCAGCTGAAGCGCATCGAATGCTCTCAGAAACTTACGGCCTTGCTGCTCTGAGTAAAAGAACGTGTCGGTAGTGGTTTCAACGTTTTAGAAATGGTGATTTCGATGTCGAAGACAAACATGGTGGTGGAAGAGAAAAAACCTTCAAAGATGAACAACTAGAAGAATTGCTTGATGAAGATTCATGCCAAACCCAAGAACAACTTGCCGAATCGTTGGGAGTGAGTCAGCAAACCATTTCAAAACGTCTCAAGGCCCTGGGCATGATTCAGAAAGAAGGAAACTGGGTGCCGTACGAGTTGAAACCGAGGGACATCGAGCAAAAGTGGTCAAAAAGTACCTGGAAACGCTGAAATGGGAAGTCTTGCCCCACCTGCCATATTCACCAGATGTCGCCCCTTCTGACTTTCACCTATTCCGTTCGATGGCACGCGGCCTGGCAGATCAAAATTTTCAATCCTTCGAAGAATTGGAAAAATGAATTGCTTCATGAATAGCGTCAAAAGGGGACTCCTTTTTTCGAGCCGGGAACCGAAAATTGCCGGAAAGATGGGAGAAAGTTGTCGCTAGCGAAGGACTATACTTTGAATAATATATCTATAAGCACTTTTTCGCAATAAAGCTTTTAACTTTGGAAAAAACGGCGGAAGCTAAGTTGTACACCTGATATTTAAAAATATTTTTTTTCGATTAAAATTTTTACATTATTTATATTAATGGCTTTCAATATATCAACTGAAAACTTTATTCCTAGATATAGACTTAGTGTACTAATTATTTTAAAAATAGCAGTAAAATAACAATAAAAAATAAAACATAAAATTCTTATCAAAAAATATTTTAAAATATTAAATAGCAAAATATATATATATATATATATATATATATACAGCAGCAGTTAAATATTGATATATGTATATATCTTTTCTCACAAGTTTTTCATTAATAAATATTTAACGGTCACCTGTTGCCTTTTGCGTATTTCTTTCATCTATTGCATTTGTTAACTTTCTTCGCTTATTCGTTTATTTTCTCACAACAAGCACTTCCTTATTAATGCCCAGCAACACCGTACACATCTATGTACATACCTATGTTACATAAATCATAAAATATGATTGGCTTAAGGCAGCAACATCTTCGTTGACCTAACTACTTTTGGCAGCGCATTATGGCATGTCATAGCCAGTTTTTTACGTAACTTTGCTTATTATTTAAGCATAAACATATATAAATATCTATGTATGTATGTATCCACTCTATTATCCACCCACAAGCAGCATAAGGCATGCATGAGTTTACTGCCGTAACATAGTCGCACATATATATGCTTATATGTCCAAACTCTCATATGCATGCATGTATATGTATATGTATGCATTTCACAATCTACCATGCACAAATCTGTTGTTATTATTTAACCACTTTTCTTTTTTCAAGCTTCAATGATTTTTATCGTTATTATTATTTTTTTTTTTATTTTTTTATATAATTTTTTTTTTTTTTGCAATTTTCCGCTATGCATTGATAGCCCAAAGTTTATTGACTTCTTATTTGAACCGTTCACCTAACCAACGCTATGCCACCATTTTTGGTCTCAGCCATTTGGTTTGCCAGTTGCTTGCTTGTTACGTACCAGTAGGACAAGTTAGCGCAGTTAATCCGCTGTAAAAGGCTGGAACACAAGGCTTGTTCGTACATAAATACGTAAGTAGCTGCACTCACACCAATTTGATTTTGGTTTATATTCCAAATTCGAAATAAATTAATTTTACTTCTACTTTCCTTCTGTTGAGTTTACAAATACTTTCATGTGTCCTTTTTTGGTATTTTGTATTATGTAATTCAATTAATAAATTTTTTAACTGCAATTGACCAAAATTACAATGAGTAAAGTAATTTTGCTTTCCTTTTCGATATTAATTTTTTTCCATGCAAGCAACTGGTTTTTACTTTGTTAAAAATGAAGACAAGTGTAAAAGAATATTTATACACTTTATTAGGTTTGTTTATTGATACTGAAAATAGAGTAGAGCAGCTCATGTTCGAGCAGAATAGAGCATCTGGCAAAAAAAAAAAAAAACAATAACGCAAGTTAGAGCAACTCGGAGCAAAAAGCTTATGAAAAATTTTCGGGCAACACTTTTTAAATGGAAATGTTTGACTTTTCTATTGTAAACAAAATAGAAAAATTTTACGATTTTTTTCATTTATTTGTTAGTAAAATTTATAATTTTTATCGTCACTTGTATTTAAGTCGTTTGCTATACCCCGTGAACATCCCTTATAATTTGTCCTCTTTCGTTTTCTAAGCTCGTCTGTCAAAGAAAATCTTATTGCTTGCTCCAAGTTACTCCACTAAAAAATTCAGAGCAGAAAATTGGTGATCTGAGTTGCTCTATTTCTGCTTAGAGCAGACTCATGAACCAAAAAGTAGAGCGAATAAGAGCTAAAAAGTTTTCATCGAACGCAATTTTTTGACATACAGGCCTATTCTCACTGTTGCCGGTAAAGTAAATTTTGTTACTTTTCTTTAACACCCGAAATTGAATTTGGTATTCTGGCGAACTGGTTACAATGTTTGAAAAAAAATTTGGCAGCACTGCTTTTTTCATCCATGTCAAATTACATTTGCCAGTTGGTAAAGTAAAGAGAAAAATATTCACATAGAAATGGAATACGGTGCACAAAAAAATTTAAAATTTCTTATTAATTTGTTTATTAAATCTTAAATATTTGAACTTAATTATGGAAAAAATGCCTGGACAACAAAAAAAGCTGAATAAAAACGTTATCTTACAAATTAAAAGGGCTATTTTTTATTCTTGAAAACTTCTTAAAATACGGCTTTTTGCACATTTTTCTTCATCTTCAATGAATTCCAGGCCTAAAATATGTCAACCCATTTTTTTTATTTTTTCTCAAACTTACAACACAAAATCAAACAGCAGATATTTTTGTTACCTCCTATTTCGCTGGTAACAAAATTTACAGGATAAGAGTGAGCTCAGAATACGAAATGGTAACAAAATTTACTGAATGGTAAATTTTAATACTTTGGTAAAATTTGTTACCTGGACAGAATAGGCCTGATAAAGTAAGCTGGCGTAACCTAGAGTAGCTTAATAAACAAATCTATTATGTATTAGACCGCTAGATATCCGGGTATATACTAGTTCGTTACTTGTTCGTTGTTCAACTGCTCAAATGATAGTTTGAAATTTTTCAAATTTCAATTTTGTTTGTCAAAATTTCTTAAGTATTTCTATGAGTTTTACACTTTGCATGAAAAAATTTCAAATTTTTGAAGAAAGTTCTGGGAAAAAAGTCAATTTTTTTATTCAAAATGCTCGAAAAACTCTAACTCGATCTCAAGCGCGAAAATTTTCGAGCAATAAGCGAATTTATAGAAGAGGTGAAGTTGTCACATCATATGATTGCTTGTTTTTTCTTCCATTTCAAAAAATTACACAAACAAAATACATGTGAAATTTGGTTTGACATTTCGAACGTTCGTTTACACAAACAAAATATATTGAACGAATTTCGTTTTCGACTTCTCGAAACTATGTTTACACGAACAAAATATATTGAACTATTTTACGAGCTTTATTGAGCTGTATCTTGCGTTTTATAAGTGCGATTCGATAACGGTAGATGGCGTTAGAAATGTGATATTTTGTACTTAAAAAGGATATTGGGAGAAATGTTGATAACTTAACGCAGCAGTGATTGAGCGATAAAGACCAAATCGCTAGTCTGGCAGTTGCTAATATGAATAGTGTTTGAGGTGCTGACCTTATAACAGCCAATCATGCACGAGGTAATTAAGTAAGTAAGCTCGAAAGCATCGATAAAATAAAAATAAAATCATTGAGTCTGACCGTCATGCGAGCACTGTGCGATTGCCCAAGAGCTTAATTTCTTCTCTGTTACTGTTAAATGCGTAGTGTTCAATTAACGGAGTATAAACAGAATATTTTTATTACTGCTTTTTAATAATATATAATAAATTTTAGAAAATTTTAATAAATAAAAAACTTAATACTAAATTCATTTATCTTTTATAAATTTATTAATAAATTAAAAATAGATTAAAAAAAATCACTTTCAATAGCACACAAGACACGGCCGGTAATTAGCAATCTAATAGAATATTCCAGTAAATCACATGATCTGCTGCGCAATACAAAATTTATCGACCAACAACAAATAGAAATTATATATTATATGTATGTATGTGCGAGTGAGTATATATATATATATATATATATATATATACAATATTAAATTCAAAGAAAAATATCTTCACTCATTCAAAGAGTCGCTAATCAACACATATATTTGAATGCATATATATGTATGTATGTATGTATGTATGTATTGTATGTGTATATTTGTATTTGAAAAATATAAATATTTATACGCAGAGGAAGTCTTTAATATATGCATTATAAATTAAGGAGTTAATTAAATCATTGAATATTAATGAATAGAAATAAATAGCACAGTCTGCGCTGTGTGTTGACATAAAAATAAATGAAGGAGAGAAGAAAATAATAAAAATGGAAACAAAGTACAAAAAATTTGTAATGTTGTGAGCAAAAAAAAAAAAACAAAAAACATTTGAGCAAGCTTTAAACAAACCGTTGTTTAAGAAATAATGCAAAAA